GAGGGGGGTTCACAGTAGAGGCCAGGGCGGGGGCAAGGCTTGCAGTAAATAACCACAATGCCTTAAGGTAACTGCTCTCTTGGAAGTATTTTCAGAGCACGACACTGAAAAAGGAACACCGCAGCGTGACTACGCCCGCTTGGGCCTCGAACCGGGCGCGGGCGTTCGCCCTACAGGGTGCCCGGGACGAGGACATCCAGGGGCGAGGGCGGGGAGGCCGGGGAGGCCGGGGGCCAAGCAAGCGGGGCCGGGTCGTGGCCAGGCGGATCTCCCAGCCGAGCCGCTGACCGAGGTTCGGAGGAGCGCCCCAAGCCAGCCTTTCAGAGGAGCCAGAGGAAGGACCGGGCGGGGCCGCCCCTCCACGGTCCGCGGGACTTACCCAGACAACCGTTTCTCCTCGGTTTTGGAAGACGCCCCTCCGTCATCTACCAGTTTGGTCTGAATGCTAACTGTTGCTGCCTCCAAGTTTACGGATGTTCTAAAAAAACAAAAAAAAAATTGAAGGAACGAAAAGGAAAAGTCCTCTTTCCTTTTTCCCTAAGCAAAGACTAACATTTGGGTTGCAGCACCCGACCCGGGAAGTTGGGGACGCAATTCTAATTCGGCGCCCTCTCCCACGTGGCCCCGCCTCTTCCGGGAAGTAACCGTCCCCTTTCCGCGACCGCAGTCTCTCGCTAGACTTTCCCGGCTTGCAGACGGTCGGCTGTAGGCATGCCTGGAACTGTTGCCGGGGTGCTCCGAGTTCTCTTCCCTTTCACTTAGGCAAATCGCCCGGCCCCGCACGTCCCGTCGACGCCGAGCCCCGTGTGCCTACCAGCTTCCCCGCCGGCTGAGGGGCACTTCCGGCCCCTCCTCTTAGACTCTAGGGGCGCGAAAACTCCGAATCGCGCACGCGCGGGCTGAGCCTCGGCGGGAGGGGGGGCGGGGCGCAGGCGCGGAGTGTCCGGCGGTGGGCGCCGGGGCAGCCAGTCTCTTGCCTTCTCCCACCGCGGGCGCGCGGTTCCTGGTGGGCCAACGGCGGCCAGCCGAGGCCGAGACGCCCCAGGGTGTCCTTAGCGCCCAGCTGCACCGCGACAGCCGCGCCGATCGGGTTCCTTGGGGAGACTTGGACTTGTTCGAGGTAAGGTGAGGGCGCGCGCTGTCGCTCTCCCTTGCTCCGGATCCATCCCCTGTCGCTGCCCCCTTAGCCGGCGCCCTCCAGCCCACCTGGTGGTGGCTCGGTCACCGGAGCTGCGGCGGTGTCCGGGGTGTCCCCCTGGGCCCGAGTGGGCCAGCCCGCCGGCGGGGATCTTCGGGCTGTCTCTGCGGGCGACACAGGTCTCCTGAACCGCGGGAAACTTGCCAGTCGCCGCTGGGCCCCTCCTCGGGCTCCGCCGGCGGGGTGACAGATCCGGCTCGGGCTGTGGGACCCGGCGCCCGGCCCCTACGGCCCTCGGCGGAGGGGGGAGTAGCTTGAGGGTTGGGTGGGCTCGGACATCCGGCTCTTAGCGCGAGTCTGAGACCTCACCGGCAACAACTTAGTCTGTTACGAGATGTGTGCAAATAGCACTTCGATTTGCTGTTAAACCCCAGCGTCATGACAACGCAGATTGTATTATCTAGAAAAATTAAATTGTAATGTTTGGAGGTTTTATGATGGCATTTCTATTCCCTCTTCTCTTGTGGAAATGAACTGAAGAGGAACCCCGATTGGGAATTGCGGAACGCAAGACTCTAGGATAGAGAAACGGCTGTGGGACCAAGACTGCACATAATATTGTGATAATTCCTGGAAAGAGCAACTCTTTTGTGTGTGAACCCTAAAGGCAGAACTTACGCGAGCGCTTTTACTCTGTGTATATTTCATGAGTAGGAGGTTAAAAGCGACTGTTTAAAGACAAGCTATTCTGGAATGTATATTCAGAGGGAAAAAAAAGTCCAAACTCCCTAACTTTTAGATGACTGCTGTATAGTTTTTTCAAATATTCAGTAGCCAAAAAAAAAAAAAAAAAAAAATTCAGTAACATATGCATTGGCCTGCAGGTATTAGGTAGTAGTTACTTGGGTGTGTGGGTGGAAGGGAACATATTAGAGCTTCTACTTAGATTTACTTTATCTCATTCTGCTACTGTGCGAAATACACAGAGTGATAATTTTATGTTGAAATATGTATTCAAAATTTCTTTTTCTGAATGGGTATGAGTACAGAAAATTTGGAGATCACTAGAATATTGCTTATAAAGCCTGTTTTTTGTAAGAGAACGAGTGTTGTGTGACCCAGAGCTTTTTGGTATCACCTCTTAAGTTTTAGTTCTTACTCTGTAATTGGATTCTAAATGTGTGTGTGTGTGTGTGTGTGTCTGTGTGGGGGGTGGGAGGAGGATATTTATAGCCCTATCTCTAATAAATGTAAAGCATTTAGTATTGAGCTTGGCAACAAAGGTAAGCACAAATGGTATACTAAAGTTGTTAAAGTGAGAATCAGTTTTTATTCCCCAAAGGTTTATTTTACTGAGTGTCTAGATGTAGAATTTTATATAAAACCTACCTAAATCTTGACTTACCTAAATTTTTAGAACTAAGTTAGAAAAATTAATCGAAGCTGTATTTGACTTACTTTCAGGAATCAATAAACAAGAAACTCAAAATTTTACCATAATGGCATGCATTATATTTAAGGCATAATCACATGTCACAGTTCTGTATATACACACACATTAGTAAGTCCAGGTGCCTGAGGGTCAAGTATAGTCACTTCTATTAATGTTAGCATTTTGATTCACTAGTTAATGAGATCCGTCTTTTCTCATTTACTTTCCCTGGTGACCAAATTCAAAATAATTTCTGTAGCTTTCTTAGCATCACTCCCAAATCCACCCCTACTGCAGAGTATATTTTACTGCCTGTTGACCTCTCCTTCTCAGTATCCTAGGAACACTTCAAACTCAATGTTTCCAAACAAAATAAATGCATTATTTACCCCTTTTCTTTCCAAACCTGCACTGTCTACTTATTATGGCATTTAGCATTGTGTAAAGATTGTTTCTAAAAATGAAACACAAAATGAAATTTTTTGAAGCCCAAAGTTTTAATTGGCTCAAATAGTAACATTAGAAGGACACATCACAGTACAATCCTTTTTGTAGTTTTATACATTAACAAAATATAGATAAGAAAACAAGTAAATTAATAGCCAGTTTCGCTGCCTGTAAACAAACTCAGTTGTTCATGCCTGGACGAACCTGGGCATTGAAGAGGTTTGACTTTGGGTTTTGACAAACCTGGGTTTAGATCTGAGCTCTGCTAAGTTAATAGCTACACAAGTCTGGGCAAAATGTCTTCTTGAATCTCAATATCCCCTTCTGTAAAATAAGGACAGTATTTATAAGGATGTTGAGGATTAAAAGAGTTAAAGTGTTTATCTCAAAAGCTAAGCATGTAGTAAGTAGATATTTAACAAATGTTAATTCTACTCCCCCATTTCACCCATACTTTTATTTTTTTAAAGATTTTATTTATTTATTTGACAGAGAATGACAGTGAGAGAGGGAACACAAGCAGGGGGAATGGGAGAGGGAGAAGCAGGCTTCCCGCCGAGCAGGGAGCCTGATGCGGGGCTCCATATGGGGCTCCATCCCAGGACCCTGGGACCATGACCTGAGCCAAAAGCATCGAAGGCAGATGCTTAACAACTGAGCCATCCAGGCGCCCCTCACCCATACTTTTAAATCTCTTGGTTTCTTCTGTTCCTCTCATCCCTGATATTGCCACTTCTTTTCTTCAGTGCCTCCTCACCCTTTAGTGGCTGGTCTCTTTTGCCCCCATTCACACTGATCTAGAATTGTTTGATAGATGGACTTAAGAGATTGTTTAATGCAGAATTGAGTACGTCGGTTGTGGTGGGAGGGGCAGAATTGGAGATGAGGTAAACAGTCCATAGCAGATTCAGATGTAGCAGCAATTTGCCTTTATTTTTGACCATTATTTCCTGTTGATAATTTCAGTTCTGTTACATCTGTCCTCACTGCTCTTAGTTCCTACTTGGATGTTAATGGGAAGTATGAATTATTAGATGGTTCACAATAAAATTTAATATTTAGGAATTTATAATCCTGTTGAAGTGTATTTGATCGCTCAAATTTCCTATTCACTTACTTGCTGTAATTAACTCTTGGTTATTGATTTTCCTTCTTGAACTTATTTTTTATTGACAGTTGTATATATGTTACTATCCTGCTCTGATTTTCTTCCTGTGAGGGAGAGATGTATCCCTTAATTCTGACTTTTTTATTGTGAATAAACAAATGAAGATGTGTTGAAAATCCCAGAGGAGATTTTTTTTCCCTTTTGTATTTCAGAATATTAGAAGTATTTTTCTTTGCATCTATTTATATGTCTTTTTAGCCTTTTGGAAATAATTTTACTGGTTAACTTGTATCTGACTCTCAGGACATTCATATGTATTTTTAAAAATCCATTATCATTAAATTACAGAGTAATTTGTATTTTAAAAGGTAGGATCCTTTGGTGTCTGTCAGATGCATGTTACCATGGCAACCTAATAGCAAACTGCAAATCCTAGGCCAAGCACAGCAAATAAAAAACATCGTCATCATGTAGCACACCATCTTCTGTGTAGTACAGAATCGCACATTCATTTTAAGAAGCTTAACCACATTTATCTACATGCACCTCCCTCCCCCAGTTTTACTTGAAAAACTGCCATTTTTTCATGGTAAAATACTAGAATCAGTCAGGTGATGTCTGAGTGCCTGCTAACTGCAAGATCATTATTGGGCATTAATGAAAACAGCATGTAAAAAGGCATTTAGCATGGGGAAAACCAAACGGTAATGTGTCCTCTTTGCTTTCCTGCAATAAATAAATTACTGCTCAGTAATTGAGAAGGAAATAGGGAATGGGTGGGAGAGAAGAAGGTATTTTTGGGAAAATAATGGCATGGTGGTATTCCAGGGAATTTAATTTAGCAACAAGCTGAAAACTAATATACATTGACTCTCGTTGTTAAATAGTTTGAGAAATAGGTTGGCTTTTCAAGTTTTAACTTGTTTAAGAGATTCAAAATTAACATTCAATTATTTGAAAAAAAAAGATGTTGACTATTATGTAATTGTGACTGTAATGTTAGTATTGTCTCAGGCATTTGTTTAGGTTAAATGTCCTTCAGATTTGATCTAATAAATACCTTTTAGATGGCATTTGTTTTAGCATGATTAGGTTCTTCATTGCCTTCAGGATAGGATAAAGTCCAAGTTTTAAAATGTTGTTTACAACAGTTCCTCTCAAACTCTAATGCACTTGTGAATCTCCTGAGATCTTGTTAAAAATGAAGTTTCTAATTCATTTGGTTTAGGAAGGGGCCTGAGATTCTGGATATCTAATACATTCCCAGGAGATGTAGATGCTACTTGCTGGTCCTTGGACGGACCATACTTTGAATATCAAGTCTGTAAGTCATTCTCTGGTTGGCTTCTTCTCTGCTGCTCTAGCTTAATTGCTTGCCAGCTATGCCTTGCAATTTATGGCACTGTGTCATGGACTTGCTTATAGTATCCCCTGTACTAAGCAGTTTGCAGTGTGTGGTCCAGGACTCTTTCAAAGGGTCTACAAAGTCAAACAGTTTTCATAGTAACAGTCAGATGTTATTTGCCTTTTTCATTCTCATTCACTTATGAGCGAATGGAGTTTTCCAGAGGTTATGAGACGTGATGATGCCATTGCTCTGAGGACTGATAGAACGTGTACATGTGTGTTCTTTGTTTTAAAAGTTTCTCAGTTTTAATTTACAGTATGGTAGATATTGATAGGGATAAATAAAAAGCTCTTTGAAGTCCTGAGTACTTTTTAAGAGATCAGCCACAACCTTTGAGAACTGCTGCCCTATGTGTTGTGTTAGGCTGTGGACGCAAAGATTCAGATCTAGAACTTTACCAGAGCTCTTTCCTTAGCCTCAGTGACTCCAGGGATGAGTGGGAATTTTGGTGTTCCACATGGTTTCCATGTACTTTTGCAGGGTGGCCTCTTTACCTCTCTGGGCAGTGGTAAAAGGTCTCATGTGACACTATCCAACGGAAAATGGGAGTAGGTAGCACCCTATTACTGCCTGATCAGGGTAGACATCTAGGCTTCCTAGGTGGGCCCCACTTACACCGTTATCATGGCTCTCTATTTGGCCTACATAGCCTTCTCTGACACTAGTCTGATTGGGATGTGGAAATGCCTCCTTATGGCCTTACACGGTGGAAGTCCAGGCTACCTACTTGGCCTTTGCTAGTGTGTGTGTTGTTGGGGGAGTAGAGGGAGCATCACAGTTTTTGTGTGTGTGTGTGTGGTATTTGGCTGAAGTAAAACAATTATTGTCTAAAACCTTTCTGTCTTGTTAGGATGCCCTTTTTCTGGTCCTTTGGCTAGAGAGAGCAAGCTTTCATTAGGCCTTTTTTCCCCCTACACCCTTTGGTGTTTCCTCAGTTGCTGTCTTCTCCAAGTCTGGGGTATTTGAAGCAAAACAAAAACTCAGGGAACTCATCATGATGTCATTCCTTGTGTCCTAAGGTCCCTGGTCAATCTCCCTCCTTCTCATTCAGAGTTGTGTTATGTTTGTTATATATATAATTTCCAAAGTTTTTAGTTTTACCTTAGGAGGAATAGGGGAAAATATATCTATTCCATTTTCCTGGAAGTGGAAGCCTCTGATTGCTTTTTTTTGGCTTGCACTTTGAGAGAAAGAATAAAAGATTGAACTCAAGACCCACTGCATAGCCCTTATATTTGGTTGTATAAAAAATATGAATAAACATTAAAATACTCCCATTAAAGAAACCTAGATTTGATAAAGTTAAAGATCTAGTTTTTGGAGAAAATATTTCAAAATTTAATTAAATAGAATTTGCATGAAGGAGTCATGACTACAGATGAGGATTTTATAAAACATACGGTAATCTTGTGTAGTAAATGTGAGGCTTTACATTATCAATGTTTTGCAAAATGAAATTACAGAAAAATCGATTCAGGAGGATATAGTGAACCTGTAAAAACTGGTATACAAGAAAGAAATTTAAATGATTTCATAAAGTTAACTTTCAAACAGCCTCCACTTTCTAATAGCTTTAATTCTACTTCTTTCTCTCTTTGAAAAAACATTTAATGTGTCATGCGGTAGAAGTGATTTCAGAGCATTAAAAGGATGGGAAAACCACTCAGTTCATTTAATGAGGCATGCATTGTCAAAATAACCAAGCCTGACAAAGATAGTTCCCCAAAATATGCACAGGTATTTCTGCAAGATTGGTTATGTCAATATAAGTTTGGAAAGTAGTGGATTAAAAAATTAAACACTGTGTGTGGATGTCTCTTCCTCTCTCACCCTCTTTTCTTGCTCACATTCCTTCTCTAGAGGCCCCATTCGGGTTCCTGCACATCTCTTGGAACACCACTCCACAAGTCTCCCACCCTTCTGACACACATACACTAAGACTGGCTTTGTTGCCCTGTATGCATATCATCACATATGGCTGTCATCTCTAGTGAGGACTAACAGGAGTCCGTCAGTCCAAAATCAAGAGAGAGAAAACCTCAGTTACTCTCTTGCTGCCCAGGTACCTGGTACAGACCTGGTTGCTACGGTATAGTACTTGAAGGACTTAAATGGGTCAAGGCTAGAACTATTCTTCTTGTTCTTTCCTTGTATCTTAGACATTTTGATTACCTGTATTGTGGATTTTTCTCTCCATTTACTCAATAAATAGTTACTAGGTACATATCATTTGAAGTCTTTTTTTTTTTCATTTAAAGTCTTAAATGTGTTTTTATAGAGAAAAATGGAAGCAACAATCAGTCATAACATTTAATTTTAATCACAGAGGCTTTAACTTGAGGTGCAGTTTTCATATGTTCAGAAAATCTTGCGTAATTTTAAATACATTAGTTTTCTAGGCATAAATTTTATAGTACATTTGTAAAAAAGTAGACAGCATGGACTATTTAGGGAATAGTTAAGGGAAACTACTAGTAGTTTTATCTGAAAAATTGAATGATTGCTCTGGGATAATTTCAGAAGGCATATGACATCTCTATTAATAGATCTAGGAAACTAGAAGCCACAGTTTCACAAATACAATCTTTTACTTTTTGTGAGTTTAAGAGTCAAAACATTTAGGTAGGCCCATATCAATAAAATCTTGGTCATGAATAACTCTGAAGTAAAATCAGCTAGTGTAGCATATACACATGATTTAAAAAGACAACAACATTACATTTATTACCTTATACTTCTGCAGGTTAGAAGTTTGACATGACTCCTGGGGCTAAAACCAAGACAGCAGTTGGGCTGTATTTCTTCCTAGCGACTCGAGGGGAGAATCTGTTTCATTGTCTTTCTAGCCTCTAGTAGCCACTGGTGTTCTTTGGCTTATGGCCCCTTCCTCCTGTACAGATGATATTTTTACTTTTTTAAAAGTAAAAACGAATGGACATAGTACTTAAAATTTAAGCTTTGTCTCATTTATTTTGTTAAGTTTAATATGAACGGAACCATCATATGGATGCCTGTACTTGATTTACTGCATTGTTACTCTAATATATGTTCAGACCCGATGGCCAAAAGAAAGGAAGAAAATTTCTTCTCTCCTGAAAATGCCAAAAGACCAAGACAAGAAGAGCTGGATGACTTTGACAAAGACGGTGATGAAGATGAATGTACAGTTTCTTTCACTAATGGTACCTCTACTTTGGTAAGTGCAAAATTTAGGGCCTGGCATGGTTCTCATGTCTGGTTTATATGTCATATTCTTGATAATTCAATGTAAGGAAAGGCAGTATGATTTAAGGAAAAACCTAAGGTAAAATAATATGACTACTTTTGACATTTATGTTAATTATCAGAAACAATTGGTAAAGAAAACAATAAAAGAGCTTATTCTTTGGAATAATCAATAAATTTGACAAACCTCTGGTAAGGCCAACAAAGGGAAGAAGAGAAAGAAGGCACAAATTACCGGTAACAAAACTGTAGCATCAACCCTGCAGGCTTCAGAAGGACAGTAAGGGACGTGACATGACAGGATGTTCAATATCATTTGTTACTGGGGAAGTACAAATTAAGGCCACAATGAGATATTACTACACACCCATCAAAATGACTAAAATTAAAAACAGTGACAACAGTGACAAGTTCAAATGCTGGCAAGGATGCAGAGAAACTGGATCATTCATAGATTGCTGGTGGGAATGTAAAATAATACAGCCACTCTGAAAAGTAGTTTGGCTGTTCTTTTTTTTTAATTCACCAGGCACCCTATAACCCAGCATTTGTCCCAGAGAAATGAAGATGTACCTTCACACAAACTTCTATACATGAATTTTTTTTTTTAAGATTTTATTTATTTATTTGACAGAGAGAGACACAGCAAGAGAGGGAACACAAGCAGGGGGAGTGGGAGAGGGAGAAGCAGGCTTCCCGCTGAGCAGGGAGCCCAATGTGGGGCTCGGTCCCAAGACCCTGGGGTCATGAGCTGAGCTGAAGGCAGATGCTTAATGACTGAGCCACCCAGGCGCCCCTATACATGAATGTTTATAGCAGCTTTATTTATAATAGCCAAAAACTGAAACAACCCAGATGTCATTCAGTGAGTGAACAGGTTAAACACTATGGTACATTCATACCATGAAATACTACTTAGCAGTGAACTCCTGATGTAGGCAACAATAGCCATTTCTATAATATTTGTGAACTGACAGTGTTCTAGAAATGTAGAACAGATTAGTGGACCAGGGGTTAAGGTCGGGGTGGATTGGGTGGGATGTGGCTTGGCTATAAAAGGGCAACATGAGGGAATCCTTGTGGTGATGGAAATGTTCCGTATCCTGACTGGATCAATGTCAGTATCCCTGTTGTGATATTGTACTACAGTTTTTAAGATGTACCATGGGCAGAAACCAAGTAAAGAATTCACAGGATCCCTCTATTATTTCTTACCAGTGCATCTACAATTAGATCAAAATAAAAATTTACTTTAACAAGTCTTCAACCATAATTTCCAATATTCTGCTCATACAAGGATGTAAATGTTTCTGCTTTTTAATAAGATGGCGCCCAGAAAAAGAGAAACCGGGAGTTTTTAAAGACACTGTTAAAAAAGATTAAAAAATTTTATTGTACCAGTGGTTCTTAATCAAGGGGGGATTTTGCATCCCCCCCCACCCCGGGGGGACATTTAACAATATCTGTATATATTTTTGGTTATCACAACTTGGGGTTAGATGTGTGCTACTATCATCTAGTAGGTAGAAGCTGGGGATGTTGTTAAAATTCTCAAAATGCACCAAACAGCCCCCCTCCAACAAAAAATTATCTGACTCAAAACACTAGTATTGTCCTATTAAGAAACTATGTGATACGATTATTAGATCCTTTAAGGACTTTAGAATGAGTGATTACTCATAGAAGGTTCCCATTTAATTTCATCTTACTCATTGAAGTTAAGGTTATTTGCTTACTGTAACTTTTTTCATTAGTAACCCTGCTGAACTTTCTCCAAATGCTTAGATGATTATAGTGAGTTTATTAGACAGATTAATTGTTTTCTGTCTTCCTCTCTCTCTCTCTCTTTTTTTTTTTCTTTTGTTAATAGACCGCAGCAGAAGTTGGAATAATTGAGAGTATTCAGCTAAAAAACTTCATGTGTCATTCGATGCTTGGACCCTTTAAATTTGGTTCTAATGTCAACTTTGTTGTTGGCAACAATGGAAGTAAGTGCTTTTGTCCTCCTTATTTGATTTTGAGCAGTTCTTTACAGTTAGAATGCATTAACTTTTTAAAATAGGTGTCTGAATGCTGATAAATATAAGTTTTAGATCTATAACTTGCAGTCATGAATATTTTCAGTATTTGCTGCCAGTCTACATTTTAAGAAAATAATGAGTTAACTCTAGGTTCGTTATTTATGTAGTAAGAATAAACATTTCCTGCTTATTTTTTTTTAATCCATTTACTTTGAAATTCATACCATAGAAGAGTGGACAAGCTACCCTCATTGTGATTGAGGCAGCCTTGCATCTTACACCTATTAAATGTTATAATAGAGCATAAACAGAGTGCCATGGAATCCAAACATGAAAGAAACTACTTCTCACCGTGGCCAATGAAGCTTAAAGAGGAGGTGTTATTTGAGGTGGTACTTGAATGAATAGGACAGGTTCTGTAGGTCTTACTGGGGAAGAAGAGGCTGAGATGTTTCATGCAAAGATTGCGCGTCAGCACAGGTTTGAAGGAGTAGAAATAGATGTGCATGGACAGTGGTGAACAACCTTAGATGGCTTTATCATATCCTACATGATAGGGAGGGGTAGTAACTGACATTTGAGAGTGCTGTTGTAGGTGATATTGGTGAGAACCTTGAGTGCCATGATAAAGATTTTGGTGTTTTATTCAAAAGTCAGTGGAGAACCAATTAAAGTTTATGAGGAAGGGATGACACGGTCAAGATTTGTGAAACAAACTGGCCTCCTCGTGGAGAATGGATTAGAAGGGGAGAGACACAGGGGTTAGAAAGACCTGTTAGGCAGCTTTTGTGATGGACCAGCCAGGCCTGAGCTGTTGACAGTTTGATTGAGCCAGTACACGGAAAGGAGGCTTGTCAGGGTCTACAGCTGGTGGTGATGCTTAGAAAGGACTATAGGTGAGTGCAGCTCCACGTTCTGTTCAGTGTTTAGTTGTCGTTCTTTGTTTCCCCTGCTCTGTGTTCAGTCAAGAGGAAAATGTTTTCAGAAGGAGAGAATGGACAGAGGGATCATTGCTACTGGGAGGCCCCGCAGGACAAGAAATAAGGAAAGACTGGTGGGTTCTGCAATTAGGTCTTGTCTTTTTTTTTGTTTTTAATTTTGAAGCAGTGATTTTATTAATAAAACTGAGAGAAGAAGAAATAATGTAAACAGTGGAGGCAATAAATTTGGAAATAAAGAAACAGAGATTTAGAGACTCAAAAGGCATTCCAGGAACTAAATCAGGTTAACCAGTGCTATATTTGGGTTAATTTAGGGTATATCGTGGAAAATGATAGGCTGGTAAGAGTTGATTGAATTGGTTGATTGTGGAGTTCAGAAAATGATTACATATTCTGGGTAATTGTTTAGATTTTAAAATTTCAGCTTGTGATATTTTATATCTCTTAGCATAAAAAGAAGTGTACTTTTCAGAAAGCTAGCAAATGAATAATATTCAAATTAGGAATAATAATTGTCAAAATATTACATAGAAACATTCATCTGTATGACTGATGATTTTTTCATATTTAAGTTCATTCATTCATTTGTTAAATACCAGAGTGCCTATATGGGCCGCTATTGGAGATACAACATTGAATAAAACAAACAACATCCCTGTCCCAATGGAGTTGCTTGTATTCAAGGGTTGTTAAAAATAGTTTATTACTTCTGTGAATTTATGGAAAAAAGTAAATTATGTCTAAATTAGAATGTAATAAAAATTAGATGAATCAAGTATACATGTGTAATTAGAAAAGATAGACTCGTTTTTAATATATTGGCTGATGGACCAAGATGAAACAATGAGAGTTGTAGGTTGGGAAGCTATCAACCATTTTTTTCCATTTCCTTATCAGTGACAAAAATTTGATTCCTGAAATGCACTAATTTTTTTCTAATAGCAGAGCTAAATATCTCGTGATAGGAACAACTTTTTTAAGTTCGCTGAAAGAAAATGATAATTGAAGTGTAACACTTCATTTCAGGGTTAGAACTAATTTACATTTTCATTCAGAAATCTTTTTACATCAAATGGTGGGAGTCAGCCTTTTCGTTTCTGTCTCTTTAATGAATGTGATTTCTTCAACACCTGTCTCTAGGTGGGAAGAGCGCCGTACTCACAGCTCTCATCGTTGGCCTTGGAGGAAAAGCTGTCGCTACTAATAGAGGCTCTTCTTTAAAAGGTTTTGTGAAGGATGGACAGAAGTAAGTGTAAGAAGCAGCTGCTGTAGATTCCCAGTTCATATATATATATGATAGGAAATGAATTGGCTTCCCAGAACTAGAGCAGAACAGTCCTCTTTTTCCATCCCTTTCTCTTGCTCCCTGTTTCCAGCATGGCCAGTGTTGCCTGTTAATCTCTTCAGACAGAACGCTTATGTAAAGTACCATGTGCCTGTCCACTTACACTCTTGTTTCTGTTACCTCTTTGGAGGAAAGAACTAGCAGTGATAAATCTATATATTTCTGCTTAAGGGAATATTTATAAACAATTGACTTTCCCGGCTCTTGACCCAAACTTCACCAAGTCCACGTTGGTATGATACAGGCGAAAGCAGGGTCAGTGACCAGCTAAGGGTCCCTACACAAAATTTCTGCCTCCAGTCCCTAAGAATTCCAAAAAAGTGTTCTGCTCTCTGTCTTTAATTTTATGTCCTTTACTCAGGTGGTTTGCCAGTGAGTTTGATTTGAGGACCACAACCACACATCTGTTTGTGGTCCATCTTGACTCTTGGAGAATGGTCATATAACTACTCTCATTGGCTCTATGCTTATATTTCTTTCTTTCTTTTTTTAAGATTTTATTTATTTGTTTATTTATTTCAAAGAGAGAGCACAAGGGTGGGGGAGCAGAGGAATAAAGTAACTCCATACTGAGAGTGGAGCCCAGTGCGGGACTCGATCCCACAACCCTGAGATTATGACCTGAGCTGATGCTTAACTGACTGAGCTACCCAGGCACCCTACTTGTATTTCTTTTTGATATAACTTGCCTTTGTGTAACTTTATATTAATTGCCTAGTTTGCATTATCATAGACTTAGGTCCTTTTGCCCATTAGGAGTACTCTTCAGGCTGATCTCCTTATTCTTCTTAATACAGCTTCAGGTAATTCTGAAGGGATCCTTGTGGCTTCTAAAAACTAGAAGTGCCAAACTCTGTTATACTAGCTGTCAGAGTGAGGCTACTCCCATTGCTCATTTCTCTTTTGCATGCCCTGTGTCCAGAACCTCTGGAACTTTGATAATTAACAGCGACCTTTTTTCGTATAATAGACTTTCCTTCTGCTCAGTGTCATATCCATTTGACTTCTTCAATTTTATTACTAAAAAATAGAACAAGGATGGAATGTGAACCAGGATTGCAGTTTTATTGTGTATCTCTCAGAAAACTATAAGGAATCTTAACCCTAAGCCAGGGTTCCAAGTGGCCTCAGGAGAAGGGGTGAAGATACACAGAAAATAATTTCTCCATGCTGTATGGCCTTGGAAAAGAACTATTTGGTAACAATTCTCCAGTGTGTTTTCTGTCTCTCCTTATCTTATTTGGGTCCCAGCCCAGCAAGGTCTTCTCCCCTCCGTAGTCCCCAACCAAATGATACCTGAAGTCAAAAATTAGTTATTTCAACATTTTTAATGGCCCCCACTCTGTTTCAATTCATTATGCTTAACTATACATGTCTTAGTTGTCCAAACAACCACCTGGTCTACCTAGCCAGATAACACATTGATTTTTCAAATAGGAGCTTCAGGAAAAAAAAATTTTTTTTTTTCTCTGTACCAGTGTTTTATGTCTCAATTAAATATTTTTTGGTTTTTTGCCATTTGGGAAGTATCTAGACCAGAGCAGAAACTTCTTTCTGAGACTTGTCCTCAAAATATCATTTTAAAAAAGAAAAAAAAAAGGCCAGCTCACACAAATCACCAACTTTCAAGGATACAGCTGCCTATAGATAGGATTATTAATATATTTTAAACAGTTAATAACAATTAAAAGCTTTTCCTGAGCTCAGTTTCCTTTTTACTGACCTTGTCTGAAAAAGTAGCTTAAAAAACAGCTTTATCAAACCCATTACTATTCCTCATTCCCTTTCTCATTTAAAAAGTTGGATATCTATGAATTTCATGGGCCGCCTGGGTGGCTCGGTTGAGGGTCTGACTCTTGATTTAGGCTCAGGTCATGATCTCAGGGTTGTGGGATCCAGCCCTATGACGGGCTCCACGCTCAGTGGGGATTCCACTTCTCTCTCTGTCCCCCTGCCCCTTCCCACACCCCATTCATGAGCGAGCACACGCTCTCTCTCTCTCTCTCTCAAATAAGTCATTTAAAAATAAATAAAATATTCAGTATCTGTGAATTTCTTCTTATTTTATAGTCTCTGGTTCTGTCATCACTTTTTTACAGAATGAGCTCGTGGAGCTTTTCAGTTCTGGTTTTAGTCGATTCTGTATCTAAAATCGTGGCTCTCCCACTTTGCCTGAAGAAGGTCTCTTGGTCAGGCTCAGGTTCGAGAGAGTCCTCAAGACTCTCCTTCCCCCCACGCCAAACATTACACTCCTCACTGATGGCCCATGGGCTCTCGGCTGCTTTTGTTGGGGGTTTCAGCTCTCCATAGCAATGCTTGCCCAGTGAGGTTCAGAGACTCCAGAGAACTGTGCTGTGAGACACTTTATGTGGGGGTCAGCCCTCTGTCAGCCACCAACCCTTTACAGTGGTGCAGGGGCCTAATACAGCTCCTCCCATGGAAACCTCTCTCAGTGATCCAAGCTCTCATGCCCCTTGCTATTCAGGTTCTTCTTGAACGTGTTTAGTTCACTCTTCCCTCCCTCGGCCTTCCTAATACTAGCCCTGGTGGCATTGGGATCTTTGCACCAGCACCATTTTTGACATCAGCTGTGGCATTGGGAGTGGGTTATGGAGGGACAAAAACTAGTACTCCTACTGTACGTTTCTGATTTATTTAGTCAAGGCTACAGAACTTCTGCAGTTGAGCTAGGTACTCATCTGAAACAGAGCAGATGCATTATATTTTTACATGGCTTTTTCCTTGTTCCTTGTTCCCGTTGTTCCCGTTATCTGTTCCCAGATACCTCTGTACAGATAGATTTTTCCAGAGTTGAGAAGGAAGCCACATTCTTTCTGTGGCACTGCTTGTTTGTGTTGTCATTCTGAAAGAACTCTGATCTGTAGTCTCTTCAGTTAAGGGTCTCCAGTGTTTATAGACGTTGGGCTCCATGGCTCTTGACCCATATTCAGGATCAGCTCCATCAGGATGGTGAAGAGACAGCAGTTAGTGCCAGCAAAGTTGTCCATGTCTCCTTGTACAGGTGATTTGAGCAGTTATTATGGAGCTTTCTCTTAAGCCTTAGTTTTTTAAATAACTTGCCTTTCTTTATTCAGATCCTATCACAACAGGATACCAGTGCCTCCCAAGTTCTCACAGTACTAAAGGTAGTTATTCAATACAAGGAGTAGCTAGGAATGAAAATAATAAAATAGATGTTTGCTAATCAAGAGAAATGTTTAATAATTCAGAGAGGAAATATAGTCATTTTATTTTTTTGTTTTTTTATTTAAATTCAATTTAATTAGCATTTAGTTGCAGAGGTAGAATTTAGAGATTCATCAGTTGCGTATAACACCCGGTGCTCATTCCATCAAGTGCCCTCCTTAATGTCCCATCACCCAGTTACCCCATCCCCCCCATTCACCTCCCCTCCAGCAACCCTTCATTTGTTTCTATCGTTAAGAGTCTCTTATGTTTCTTCCTGTTTCCATCTTATTTTATTTTTCCTTCCCTTCCCTTATGTTCATCTGTTTTGTTTCTTAATTTCCACATATGAGTGAAATTATATGATGTTAGTCTTTCTCTGACTTATTTCACTTAGCCTAACACTTCTAGCTCTATTCATGTCATTGCAAATGGCAAGATTTCATTCTTTTTGATGGCTGAGTAATAATCCAACGAATATATACACCACATCTTCTTTATCCATTCATCTATTGATGAACATCTGGGCTCTTTCCATATTTTGGCTATTATGGACATTGCTGCTATAAACATTGGGGTACAAGTGCCCCTTCAAATCACTGTGTTTGTATTCTTTGGATAAATACCCAGTAGTGCAATTGCTGGGTCGTAGAGTAGCTCTATTTTTCACTTTTTGAGGAACCTCCATACTGTTTTCCAGAGTGGCTGCACCAGCTCATATTCCCACCAACAGTATAAGACAGTCCCCTCTTTCTCTGCATCCTTGCCAGCGTCTGTTTCCTGAGTTGTTAATTTTAGCCATTCTGACTGGTGTGAGGTGGTATCGCATTGTGGTTTTGATTCGTATTTCCCTGATGTCACGTGGTATTGAGCTTGTTTTCATGTGCTGTTGGCCATTTGTATGTCTTCTTTGGAGAAATGTCTGTTCATGTCTTCTGCCCATTTCTTGACTGGATTTTTTGTTTTTTGGGTGTTGAGTTTGATAAGTTCTTTGTAGATTTTGGATACTAGCCCTTTATCTGATAAGACATTTGCAAATATCCTCTCCCATTCTGTAGGTTGCCTTTTATTTATTTTTTTATTTTTAAAGGCATCTGGTCTTTTTTTTAAAGATTTTATTTATTTATTTGACCGAGAGAGAGAGCACAAGCAGGGGGAGCAGCAGACAGGGGGAGGGGGAGAAGCAGGCTCCCAATGGAGCAGGGAGCCTGATGCAGGGCTCAATCCCGGGACCCTGGGATCATGACCTGAGCCAAAGGCAGACGCTCAACCGACTGAGCCACCCAGGCGCCCCTACAAGTTGCCTTTTGGTTTTGTCGACTGTTTCCTTTGCTGTGCAAAAGCTTTTGATTTTGATGAAGTCCTAGTGGTTCTTTTTTGCTTTTGTTTCTCTGTAGTCACTTTATTTTTTAAATGTTTTTATGAGGTGCATTCACTTAATACTAGGTAATCATACTAGTTAGTGAAATAAAATATTTTTTGCTCCGTATACTAGGCCAGCTGCCCTTCCCCTATTAATACTTTAGTTAATGGTTTTCAGCCTTGACTATTCATTAGAATCAACTCGGGAGCTTTTAAAAATCCTATTGATTACAATTTTTCGGGAACATATCTGCCCTAATTGTGTATTTCTGATTTAAACACATACACCCCAGCTTAGGGTAGTTTAGAAAAGGAGATTTATTGTAAAGATTCAGAGATATATATCTTAGAACCTGGAGGGAAGAAGTACAATTGGTTTTCATGAGTGACCGGAACTGAGAGACCTCAGAACCAAGTACTGTCTGTCTCTGGGCCTTTCTTTTTTGTGTCCCTGCCTTTCTCTCTGTGTCTGTGTCTCTAGGCCTCTGTCTGCCACTCCTTCTTTTAGGTCCATGCTGCAACCGTTCTGCTATACCGGCCTCCCTCACCCCTCACGTAATGGGCTGTGCTGTGTTGTGCTCCCTTCCCTCCATCTCCTTATGACAAGTCTGTGGGCTTGTGACTGTGTTTCTCTCTCTCTCTCTCTCTCTCTCTCTCTCGTCTCTGGAGTATATGTTCTCTTCCTTATATCTTAGCCAAGTCTTTGTTACTCTGTCTTCGTGTATGCAGTCATTGACCTCTTACCGCTTTAGTCTGTGGGGCGGTGTGTATAAGGAAGTGCTCTTGTGTTCTCTGTGTCTCTTATTCACTGGCAGTGTCTGTGGGTGTGTGTCTTTCTGTCTGTCTTGGTGGCTTCCCAGGAGCTTCTCCATGGATGCTCTCTGGAGCCTCTCATCAGGGGGTGATGTCCCAAACTGGTTTCTGTGGTCCTCGGAGGCCTCAAGGAATCACCAGCTCTCGACTTGGTTGTGCCTTCATTGGGGTTTCATTGGGGTTTGTTGATACAATTTTTCACTGTGAAGTAATCTAGATTTATGGAGGTGTTGCAAAGATAGTACGGTTTCCTTTAGACCCTTCGTCTGATTTTCCTTCATGTTGACATCTTAAGTAACGAAGGTACTTTTATCAAAGCTGTGCAGTTCACACTGTTACGGGTATTACTGAGGAAACTACAGACCTTGTTTGGATTGGACCACTTCTTCTTAATTTGAATCTTTCAAGAAGAGAATCTGTTTCAGCTAGTGTCAGATTTCCGTATTTAGCTCAGTCCCTTGGGATAGGGTGGGGACTGCTGGTTGCTAAGCCCTGTCTCTCTGCTTGAGCACTCGCAGAGGAGAGGGTGAGGCCCCTTCAGCGTGCCTACTGTAATATCAGCTTACAGTAAAGTTTATCTGGAGTATGTTTTTCTGCAGTTCCTACAAATGGGAGCAATTTGGGAATATGACTAAAATTCATGAAAACAAGTACGATTAAAGATTTCATTTAATTACCAGTTAAAGTAGTTTCACATTAAAGGACTTTAGCATTCTGGCATATGAGCCAGGAAAAAAAAAATTGTCTGCTTTTATGTTTAAGGAAATTTTAATGTATTTAGTAATGTACTTACTGACATTGTTTTTCTACTCGGTCTTATTTTAATAAAAGTTAAAGTAGAAAAATAAAGATTGATATTTTTTCCTAGAATATATTAAAATATGCATGGCTGGGCACCTGGGTGGCTCAGTTGGTTAATCGGCTGCCTTCGGCTCAGGTCATGATCCCGGGGTCCTGAGATCGAGTCCCACATTGGGCTCCCTGCTCCGCGGGGAGCCTGCTTCTCCCTCTCCCTCTGCCTGCCTCTCTGTCTACTTGTGCTCTCTATCTCTCTGTCAAATAAATAAATAAATAAATAAATAAATAATCTTTAAATAAATAAATAAATAAAAATAATAAAATATGCATGGCTATCAATACTTTAAACTTCTTTAAAACTTTAAAAATAATTCTTCCATAATACCAATAAAACTTCAATAATTTTTGAGCTTTTGTTTATGTTTTTTGATATCAGATACTTTCATTTTTTTAATGCCAAGTATTTGAAAGATTAAAGTTGCTTCCTTTGATTCTGATCCTCTTAGAAAATGTTATTGGGCGCCTGGGTGGCTCAGTTGGTTGGGCAACTGCCTTCGGCTCAGGTCATGGTCCTGGAGTCCCGGGATCGAGTCCCACATCGGGCTCCCTGCTCAGCAGGGAGTCTGCTTCTCCCTCTGACCCTCCCCCCTCTCATGCTCTCTCTCTCTCATTCTCTCTCTCACATAAATAAATAAAATCTGTAAAAAAAAAAATGTTATTATTTCACCATAATTGTTACTTAATCATTCTTAAAGGTCTGCTGTCAGCATGGTGCTTTGTTACATAGTTTAGAGTAGTCAGGCAGTATAGTATTACACATTGCTCATGGAAAATGTATAACTTACCTACATGATTTGAAACAACCCAACTTAAATGGTTTTAGGGCGCCTGGGTGGCTTAGTCAGTTGTGTCTGACTTCAGCTCATGTGATCTCAGGGTCCTGGAATCGAGCCCCACGTTGGGCTCCCTGCTCATCAGGGAGTCTGCTTGTCCCTCTCCCTCTCTCTGCTCCTCCCCCCCACGTGTCTCCTTCAAATAAATAAATAAAATCTTCTTAAAAAGTGGCTTTTATGTGGATGTGGTATTTCTATTATAGATAGGATAGTCAGTGTTTTTATAACACTTACTCTCAGCTATATTTTTTTGTTAGGAGTGTTATATTCAGCATTATTCTGTAGTAGCCTGTCAGCCATCCGTGGCTGGTGTGAAGCTGCTTTTCAAATGAAATAGGCAAATTACTTCGGAGGTTTTGAAAATTACGTAACCTAGTGTCGAAATTGCACTGTACCTTCATGTGGCTTAGCCTAACCTTCTTGCTTTAGCTCAGCAGATATCTCAATAACATTAAGGAACAGAGGCGACGATGCCTATAGAGCAAATGTGTACGGCAACTCTATAGTCGTGCAGCAGCACCTCAGCATGGACGGAAGTCGATCTTACAAACTGAAAAGTGAAACAGGTTTGTTGTGAATGTCTTTTCATTTCACATGAAATGCTAGTAAATAGTCCGTTAAACAGCAAAGTGATTGCTCAGGTGTTCACTGGAAGGGCATTTCTTCCCTATCTCTTGAAACCTCGTTCTGGTCATGTGTGGGATCGGCTGCATGTATGTACACACACGTGATTGTGTGCGGACACATATACACAGTTGTTTTACCCCAGGACATTGTACGGCAGGACCATGATTACCAGAGTCTGGGTCCACTTGAAACAGGCTGTGCTGCCTTGTTCTCACCGGCGGGCCTGCTCCCACCCTTGTAGTTTTTATCACATGTGGAAAGGGGGGTTAGCCAAAGGTGGAAAAGGACATGAAGGAAGAGGAGGCGAAGACCTAGATGAGAAGGAAAAGCAGACGTTTTGCTGCAGGGATAGGAAGAGCACTGTCCCTGCGTCCGTGCTGCTCCCTCCTTCTGTGTGCCTGGCGCACGATGACCGCAGCCTGCAGCTAGCTCCTCAGATGTGTGCCAGTTCCTAGGGACGTAACAAAATAGTTAATATCTGTATTTGTAAATGAGCAAATTTACAAAACTTTATTTTTATAAATAAAACTGCTTATTTTTGTAAATAAAGTTGCTTATTTTTCCTCCATATTTCTGCCCTAGAAGCAGTCTGGTCATTTTATGTGTTTCTCTTAACCAGGCACTGTGGTTTCTACTAGAAAAGAAGAGCTGATTGCGATTCTTGACCATTTTAACATACAGGTAATTGCCAACTTTTCGTCTCAGATTAATGTAACTGGTCACTTTCTCATGTGATTTCATTTGTAGTGTTGAAAGAATTAAAATAGGCTCGTGTGAGTAAATTGACCACAGGACAAATGTGTACAACTCTTGTTAGCAAAGTTGCTTAAAATTTCCTAATTCGGGCACCTGGGTGGCTCAGTTGGTTAAGTGACTGCCTTCGGCTCAGGTCATGATCCTGGAGTCCCTGGATCGAGTCCTGCATCGGGCTCCCTGCTCGGCAGGGAGTCTGCTTCTCCCTCTGACCCTCCCCCCTCTCGTGTGCTTGCTCTCTCTCATTCTCTCTCTCTCAAATAAATAAATAAAATCTAAAAAAAATTTCCTAATTCAGCAGGAATTTTCAATGCATAATATAACACCTGTAAAATCAAGAACATCTAATTTATACTGGTATGGGATAAAATAGATGTTAATAAAGGCTATAAAGTTTCTTTGCTTTCTGCTATCCTGGTCAGAATAGCATCATAGTTTTCCTAAACTCAGATGCTAATTTTTTGTAGAGAGAAATTTATTCTAGAAAAATAAAGCATTTCTTTATGTATTTTGGAGTTATTGATCATACCTATAGGAGATAAGGCTCCAGTCCTTTCTGCTAAGATACTTTGAATAATTAGAAATAGAGCATATATTATTAGTGCTGGAATTGTCTTTGGAGGTCATCTAATTCACCTTTATTTTGTAGATGAGAATAGAACTAGAAAAAGTAAATTTACCCCTACAATTGTCTAGGCGTGGTTGCTGGTAGAGCCTGGGTGGGGAACCAGGCCTCCCTGTTTCATTCTAATATACCACCCTGCCTTACTTACTCCAGGATGAAGAACACCAAGACTAGTCACCAAGGAGAAAGAACAATTACGAGTCTAGGTCTTTTTTCCAGTTTGGTTTAGAACAAAGGTGTCCAGAAAAACCTTCTGTGATGGTAGAAGTATTCTGTGTTATGCTATTCAGTGTGTCAGCCACTGGCATGTTGCTCTTGAGCGCCTGAGAGGAATGACTAAGAAAGCACGTGTTTGATTTTATTTAATTAAGTGTAAAAAGCTGCATGTGGGTAGTAGCTTACATATCAGGCAACAGAAGTGTAGAAAAATAGTTATTAAAATCTGGAGAAAAGCAGTTACATCAAATAAATTTGAGACTAGAATGCAGGACAATTTTTAAGCAGAATCAAGAAAACCAAAAGTGTATGGAATCAGGTGTTTGGGAGCATCTTGAAGGGCATCGGTAGAGTTCTCACTGTCCATGTTTCCCGTGTGTGGACTCTCCACCAGGTGTCCCTTCAGCAACTGCTTAAGTGGATTGTGGTGGAGAAATCACTTCTGCCTGAGATTTTGATTCCTTCTGTGAACAGCTCTCTCAGAAAGTTTTTATTATGGAAGAGTTGAAAAAAGCCTGTTTCTCTAAGCTCCCACTTCCTTGGGGAATGTATAAACCTGTTTATTTCTTTTGAAATATTTGAAGGTTGTTATCATAACTCTTTTTAGCCCTCTTCTGGTATGATGCAGTAAACTAAAGTTTCAGGTTCATTGATCAAAATATGGGAGGTCTAGAGCTACACTTACCTGTACAGTAACCACTGGCCACATGTGGGTATTAAGTACTTGAAATGTGGGTAGTCCAGATTGATATGTACTATAGTGTGAGATACACACTAGATTTTGAAGACTTTTTTTTTTTTTTTTTTTTTTTTTTTTGCGAGAGAGAGAATGAGAGACAGAGAGCATGAGAGGGAGGAGGGTCAGAGGGAGAAGCAGACTCCCTGCCGAGCAGGGAGCCCGATGTGGGACTCGATCCCGGGACTCCAGGATCATGACCTGAGCCGAAGGCAATCGCTTAACCAACTGAGCCACCCAGGCGCCCTAGATTTTGAAGACTTAATGCAAAGGGATAATTGAATTTTTATAGGTTATATGTTAAAATGATAATATTTTAGATTAGAAATATGTTACTAAGATTAATTTTATGGGTTTTTTTAAAGATTTTTAAAATTAATTAATTAATTAATTAATTTTATTTATTAGAGAAAGAGCAGAGTGAGAGAGAGCACGAGCAGGGGGGAGAGGCAGACGGGTAGGGAGAAGCAGACTCCCCTCTGAGCAGGGAGCCACATGGGGCTTGATCCCAGGACCCTGGGGTCAGGACCTGAGCCGAAGGCAGACAGACGCTTAATGGACTGAGCCACCCAGGTGCCCCTCAACTCCAGAATTTTTTATCACCTCAAACTGCAAGATTCTTACATAATCCCTAGAGTAGGAACTAGGAACCCCATTTCAGAAACAAGCAGAAAGATGTAGACAAAATAATATAAATTTGGGTGAAGCTACTAATTCAAAGTTGGTGAAAATGTCTGTCATTAAAGCTAGTACATTAGGTCTTATTTTTAACAAGTCAGATGGAATGTGAAATTAAGATGCAGGGTAAATATTGTAAAAGTATGTGGCAGTCAGTCTGGTGTACCTCTATAATGATAATAATAAAGTAACATGTAGAGGTTTCTTTATAACTCCATAAATGTTTTTGTTATCTGAGAAGAAAAAAACCCAAAATTTTACTTAAAAAGGAAGGTTTTAACCATTGTTATGCTAACAAAGTATAATCGGTATCTTATGGATGGTAAAATGAAGGAGTTTAAAATTTTTTTCATTTAGGGGCACCTGGGTGGCTCAGCGGTTAAGCATCTGCCTTCGGTTCGGGTCATGATCTCAGGGTCCTGGGATCAAGCCCTGTGGGGGCTCCCTGCTCAGCAGGGAGTCTGCCTCTCCCTCTCTCTTTGGCTACCCCCCACCATGCTCTCTCCCTCAAATAAATAATTTTTTTTTTTCATTTATACTGGTCCTGCATATTTTATAACGGGATTATTTTCTAATACACAAATTACTTAAGTGCTAATACCAAAGATATAAATGAGTAATGATCTTGAATTTTTCTGAAACAAGTTATATATATATTTTAAATTTTTTCCCCTGTGCTTTGGTCAGTTACAGTACTGTTACCATAATTGTACTTTTAACTTGTTAGTTATAGGTAGTTTATTTCAAGCAATGGCTTATTTAAAATGACTCCTCCTCGAAAGGTAGAAATGACTCCAGCATTTCTCTTTATTTTATAATCGTGAAGAAATAACAACAAATGGAAAATCTGAAGAACGGCTGTAAGAAAAATAAACACTACTTGGCATCATAATTCTGATTAGAAATAACCAAGTTGGACTTTTTGTATTCAGTTGGAGAAACTAACTTGCCCAGGGCTACATAGGGAGGTGAGACACAAAAATCCAAGGCAGCCGAGGGCTTTACTCACTGTTGTCAGATTGTTAACCAGTAGCATAGGAGTGAAATTCTATAAAACAGGTAAAAGAAATGTGCCTGTGCCCTCATATAGTGGCAGAATAATTTTGACTATGGTATTTATTTTAGTATCATGAAATGATGAAACATTTTCTCTACATTAAAAATGTCTAATATTTTTTCTTGGTATATTTACCTTAATACTCTGAACTTAGCCTTCTTGATGACACTATAGGTGAATTGTATTCTGTAGTACAGTACATTTATTTTTAAGGCATTAAAATGAAATATTCAAAAATAACCTCTCTTGTTTGTTTCAGGTGGATAATCCAGTTTCTGTTTTAACACAAGAGATGAGCAAGCAGTTCTTGCAGTCTAAAAATGAGGGAGACAAATACAAAGTAAGGAGCACCAAAGGAAATACGAATTTATCAAAAAAGAATACATTTATAGATAAAGCATATACACCAAACATAACTCTTGCTCACGTAATAAATATTCAGTTAGGTTTTTTAAAGCCACCTGTGTTTAATATTGTAGGACTAGTTTAGGAGAGTTCTAAATATGATGGAGTATAATTTTCTTGGTAAGTTCTTGCTTTCACTTTTTGGCTTTTAATTCTGAGAGAGAATAGATTATTCTAAAAATAATCTTTAAGGAAATTCAAGGGAATGATTGGCCATACATAATAACCTTTAAACTGTAAATTATTTAAAATTTAAAAAGCTAACAACATATTTGACTACTACTTATGCTATAACTTTTGAATGGGTTTCAATATTTCCTTTTCTAAAAATTCAAGATGCACCAAGATCAAGGATACAGATGTTTTCTCTTTATTCGTATTTGTTTAAAGAATGAATGAATGAATCAGTGAAAATGAGTTTTCAAGATGGTGTTATTCTTACACCAAAAGTATTTTCTTACGTGGGCTTTTAAGAGCTATTGCAAACGAATGTGTAGATGTGAACAGAGTAGATTAAGTAAATTTGGGGTGTGAAAACTTGAGTATTTTGTTTGTTTGTTTTGGGGTTTTTTTTTTAATTAACATATAATGTATTGTTTGTTTCGGGGGTACAGATCTGTGATTCATCAGTCTTACACATCACAGTGCTCACCATAGCACATACCCTCCCCAGTGTCTATCAACCAGCCACCCCATCCCTCCCACCCTCCTCCCCTCCAGCAACCCTCAATTTGTTTCCTGAGATGAAGAGTCTCTTATGGTTTGTCTCCCTCTCTGGTTTCATCTTGTTTCGTTTGTCCTTCCCTTCCCCTATGATCTTCTGCCTTGTTTCTCAAATTCCACATATCAGTGAGAGCATATAATTGTCTTTCTCTGATTGACTTATTTCGCTTAGCATAATACCCTCTAGTTCCATCCACATCGTTGCAAATGGCAAGATTTCTTTTTTTTTTTGATGGCCGCATAATATTCCATTGTGTATATATACACCACATCTTCTTTTTTTTTTTTAAGATTATTTATTTATTTATTTCACAGAGAGAGAGAGAGAGCAGGAACATAAGCAGGGGAGTGGGAGAAGGAGAAGCAGGCTTCCTGCAGAGCAGGGAGCCCGATGTGGGGCTCGATCCCAGGATCCTGGGATCATGACCTGAGCCGAAGGCAGATGCTTAATGACTGAGCCACCCAGGCGCCCCTATACTACATCTTCTTTATCCATTCATCTGTTGTTGGACATCTAGGCTCTTTCCATAGTTTGGCTCTTGTGGACATTGCTGCTATAAACATTGGGGTGTATGTGCCCCTTCGGATCACTACATTTGTATCTTCAGGGTAAATACCCAGTAGTGCAATTGCATTGGCTCGTAGGGTAGCTCTATTTTCAACTTTTTGAGGAACCTCCATACTGTTTTCCAGAGTGGCTGCACCAGCTTACATTCCCACCAACAGTGTAGGAGGGTTCCCCTTTCACTTGAGTGTGTTTTTAATATCTTTTTACATAATTAGTCAAAAATTTTTGGAGACCTAATTCTTGTCACAGTTCTGTGGCAATTTACAAACTCCTAATTGTGTTTTTCTTATTGGTACAGTTCTTTATGAAAGCAACCCAACTTGAACAGATGAAAGAAGATTATTCATATATTATGGAAACAAAAGAAAGAACAAAGGAGCAGATAAATCAAGGAGAAGAGGTTTGTAAACACGTAATGCAAATATTTTTGAGATCAGTCAAATTCCTTTAGTACTTAAAAATGGTACTGTAAAATTATATACCTATGTGTAGATATGTATCTATATAAAACTAATAACACTTTCATAACACTCTATGAAATATAGGAAGTGTGGTTTTTATATTCAGGGTATTTATTAGCCTTTACTTTTTTGTTTTGGAATAATGCGTATGTACACGTTTTCCTCTGTTAGGCTAGAGACTAGAGGACAGAGCAGTATTTTACATGCTTATGCCTTGATATATGACTAGTTGGTTCTATAGTAAGGTATCACTAATTCCCACTGTAAGTAGCTTAAAAAGTATAATATTTCTTTTGATGGGAAAATAAGCACAAGCCTCAAGCTGATTATAAACGTAATATTCATTTGTAATTATATACGGTAGATAACTCTTTCATCACACTGGGAAGATGTTAATGTTCATTAAGCACTGATAGCTTGGTAGCAACTGTCCCATCCATACTCACCAGCTTGGTAGCTGTGCATATTTGTGTCAATTTGAAATTACTCAAGCCAATGAGACTTACTTAAATTTGGTTTTACATCTGCTATATTTTCTTCTTGTACTTTCTTCTTCAGATTCCTGAAGATCCAACCTTCTGTCTGATAATCAGAGACCTCAAAATCATAAGGCTTATGTTTCAGCTTTTCATCCCGTACATTAAGTCCCACCAATTTTTGTGTGATTCTATATCTTGTTCTTTAGGTACTTAGTCAGTTTTATAGAATTAGTGGAGCTTCTAGCTAGTTCTTAGCTTGTTCTTTTGACACAGAATTGTACTAATGATTGACCCAGGTCAACTTCATTAGATGCTGCACTGACCCTTTTACTTCAGGTTTTGAGGACTGCATATTTAAAGTTAGGTCTGTGGGTGTATGAAAACTCAAACAGCAAGGGTGGGTATATTTATTTTTATTCCCCACATTATCCCTTCAAACTCAAGGTACTGGTAGTGTACAAGGAGGCACTGTAAACCACAGAATTAATACAGCACAGTTTCTTGGTGTATCAGTGTTATTAGGAAAAGGAAATATTTGCATGTTCAAAAAAACATAATAGCATGTGTTACATTTATTATTTTAAAAATAGTAAATCAGGATTTTGAAGAAATGTGTTTGCTTCAGACAGCTAGGGGTTAAACACCCACTTTCTCCATGATATACTTTGTTATCAACTATTAAAGATATTTTGATTATGAAGTTAAAGAAGCACTTCCCTATATTGTGTAGCAGAATTCCTTATGTATAATATACACATAATAAGAGCTTTTTCTAATTAATTAAATGTCCTATATTCTCAAAATAAGCTCTGGCTTTGAATATTTAAATCTGTAGGAAATAGTATGTGAAGGTTAGATAGAAACTGGAAGCTGTCCAGTCAACAAATACCAGTTCCAGCATGTGCCTCCTGGCATTGTGCTTTGTCCATGGCCATATGATGGCAAATGCATATCTGGGTTCTGGGGTCAGAGACCTAACTGTTCAGCAGGAAACAGATGGTAAATAACTGAGTATGGTGGGCCCCCCTAAAGGACTTGTGATTAGATATGTGCAAAAGCACTTAGGAGGTATCAGCACTGGGGGAAAGAGACCTGGGAGGAGTGTAGTTGTTAAGGATGATGTCTAGGTTGAGAACTGAATGATGAATAATGCCAAACAAGGGATGGGGAGAGTAATGAAGGGTGCCATTCCTAGGGATAAGAATGGCAGCATCTTGGGCAAGAAAGCATATGGTGCTATTAGAAAGCTGAAGGAATTCCAGGTTGGCCAGAGTGAAGAGCACAAAAGTGAGAAAAAAGAGGCCAGATTGTAGAGGATCTTGTAAACCTAAGAACAGTAGAACACATGGAAGTGGATGATGTGACTAAATGAATATTCGTAATCAGTTACTCTGCTGTGGAAGAGGGTGAATTGCTGTAAGGAAAGAATGTAGAGAGATAAATAAAGAGTTCTCATTGTCCACTGAAATGATGATGACATAAGTTAGAGTAGTAGCAGTAGTAGTGAAAAGAAGAGTTTTGAAATGATTTGAGCAGATGTTAAGTGGGACAGGGAGGAGTGAAGTTGAGACAAGAGATAACACGGGTGACCAAATGACCTCCAGATCGATGACCTGAGCAGTAGACTTAAGTTTCTTAAAATAGGAATCTTGGGAAGAGGAGCCAGTTTTTCTTTTCTTTCTTTTAAGAAAAATGATGAATTTCATTTTGAACACATTGGTTTTGAAGTGCTTATAAAACATCCAATTGGATATAAGAGTGAGGAATGCAGAAGTCTGGCTTCAGTAAAAATTTGAGATTCATTAGTATGTTGTTGGTGTGTAAGCCGCAGGAATGACTTAGATTGCTGGGGAGGAATGGAAAGTGGGTCCAGGCCTGAGCCAAGAAAAATGCTCATGGAAGCCATAAAGGTCAAGGGAAGAGAATTTGAGAAGGCAGTAGTCACAACTCTGTGATGTTCTGAGTGGCAAGCACCACAAGGTTTGACAAATACTCCCTGTATTTAGTGACATAATCCGCACAGAGGCTTGTGGCAAGACAAGTTTCAGTAGCGGTGAAAACAGAAGCCAGATTTGTGGGGCTGAAAATGTGAGGAAATGGAAGAGAGATTACCTTCAGAAAACTTCGAGGGAGAGAGGAGGAAGAGGTCCCCAAGCATGGATAGTGGCTGTTGTGTTTGTAAATGGGAAAGATAAGTGAGTAAAGATTAAACATGATGATGGAAGGGAGTCAGTGAAGAGGGCCAAGTGGAAACAAAGGTGAAAAGATGGGGACGAAAAATGAACTAATTCAGACCTCCTGAGAAGGCAGAAGCTGGTGGTCGGACCCGAAATATATAGGTAGGAGATGGGAGCTGGACTTCAGTGTCATGAAGCCACCTCCTCCTGCTTTAGATTTGTAAATGAGGTTGTTGGAAGTTGGAGAGAGTTTCCTTTGATGGCCACTAAACTCCCTGAAGTAGGAGGCAGGGAGAATGAGTGAGGGATTAGGGCGGTGGGGGTGTATGAGGCTTGAAGAGAGTGATAATGGATTGAAATAATCCTGGAGAATTGGGAAAGTGACTGGTAGGGACGCATTAGATCCACAGTATGAGGCTCTAGTTGAAGATGGTAAGCATGAATGAAGGGGAGAGGCCATCTACCCAGGTGTGCAGAATCTAAAGTCTAGGAGCCACTTGAGAAGCTGTTCTAATGTCATTATATTTGATACTTGTTTGATGATTTTTATTATTATTTTAATTTAATTTTTTGAGAGAGAGAGTGCGCACGTGTGTGTGTGCAAGTGAGTGGGGGAGGGACAGGAGGAGAGAGAGAATCTCAAGCAGGCTCCATACCCAGCGCGGAGCCCACAGGGGTGGGGGGGGAGGGGGTGCCTCAGTCTCATCACCCTGAGATCATGACCTGAGCCAAAATCAAGAGTCGGAGGCTTAACTGACTGGGCCAGCCAGGTGCCCCTGATGATTTTATTTATTACTAGGGAGAACTTAGATTTAAAAAATTATAACTTGGGGTACCTGGCTTAGTCGGTTAGGTGTCCAACTCTTAATCTCATCTGGGTCTTGGTCTCAGGGTTCTGAGTTTGGGCCCTGCATTGGACTCCACACTGGATGTGGAGTCTACTTAAAAAATAAAAATAAATAAGTAAATAAATAAATAATTATAACTTATTTGGCTTTTAGAAATAAATTTCTTCTGTGTCTTCCATTATCTTTGGAATGAGTACTGGGTATAGTTTGCCCAGAAGAACATACCAGTCTGTCTATCTGATAGGGAGTTGAGAGAAATGGGAAACTGAGTGTTATGATTTGTCTATACTTGTGAGGTCTTAAACCCTTTATTCCTTTGATCTTCATTTGAAGAATATTTGGCCTTCTTTATAACGCAGAAATTAAGAAAATAACTGCACCTAGTAAAAATATACCAAAGAACCAGAGATATTTTTATTTTCACCTTAAGTCATTTCCCTGCATATCTTTTTTAATACTGATTAAGGAAGTACATTCAAAAGAAATACATTTGTAAAAACTCTTGTCTTTTCAGTGTTAGTAAGAAACGTATCCTTTTTTCTTTTTTTCAAGCGACTTATTGAGCTAAAACGCCAGTGTTTGGAGAAAGAAGAACGTTTTCAAAGTATTACTGGTTTAAGTACAATGAAGACTAATTTAGAATACTTGAAACATGAAATGGCTTGGGCAGTGGTAATTTTTACTTTATTACTTATTCACTTAATGCTTTTAATATGTAGAAAATATTGGTTTCAGTTACTCTTATACATGATTTACACTAATTTCTTTTTAGGTCAATGAAATTGAAAAACAGTTGAATGCTATCAGAGATAATATCAAAATTGGGGAAGATCGTGCTGCTAGACTTGACAGGAAGATGGAAGAACAGCAGGTAATTATTTTTTTAATACAGATTTAGTAGGTTAAAGCATATGAGATTACTGACATTAGACTATTTTAAAAGACCTACAAAAGTAGCAGTTTCAACCTATATATTTATCTATGTTTGAATTTATGATTCAAATGAAACTGACATAAACTTTTGTTCAAGTACTATTATAGCAACCCTTTTTTATTTTATTTCTTTTTAAGATTTTATTTATTTATCTGGTGGTGGGGGGCTAGAGCACAAGCAGGGATAAGGGCAGAAGGAGAGGGAGCGAGAATCTCAAGCAGACTTCGCACTCACCATTGAGCCTGATGCAGGGCTCGATCTCACGACCCCAAGATCGTGACCTGAGTCAAATTCAAGAGTCAGATGCCCAACCAACTGAGCCACCCAGGCTCCCCGGCAACTCTTTTTTAAAAAGAGTATTGTTTGGACATGATCAACCAGTTGAGCCCAGTAATGTAGCACTCTAAACTCAAGAATGTGGACAGTGGTACTTCCTTATTAACTAGAGATGCTACAACATGAAGCTTTTACTGTTGTTCATTAGGAGTGTCAACATAAAAAGCCTTGAGGTGCTAGAATAATAGTCACTTAGAAAGCTAAGTATCGTGAACTATAACACTTCAGAACTGAGCAGAATGCCCAGAGATTGCTATCAGAATTTCCAGGGAACTGAAGTTTTAGAGCCCAAAACCATCAGAGGATTTCGTGTAGGTGGAACACATGTAGGACAAGTTGTTAGGTCTGTTAAAGTTCATTTCAACCTGAGATCTAAGAGCCACATGGAAACTATGCTATTTATGTAAGATTCAAGAGTCTTCCACTTGGGTCTAGAGGTAGAAGTTGGTTGAATGATAAGTAAAAGCAGTAATTTTCTGTTAGGGCTGTCCACATGGACCTTTTTACCATATAGCCAGTCCACTCTTTATACTCACATTTTTGTTCTTTGTTTAATAGCTTTATTGAAATATAATTCATATACCATATAATTCACCAGTTTAAAATTTGCACTTGAGTGGTCTTTTAGTATTTCCCAAGGATATGTAGCCCACAATGCAGAATTCCTTGCATTTTGTCATGCCAGAAGTAGAACTCCTAGCCCTTTAATTTTTGTAGAAGCCCCACCTACTCCGTGTGGATGGCTTACCTCTTAGTATTTTGTTCTACCAAGCTTAGTTTATAGTATAGGATGTCATCTTCCCCACCTTGCTTTTTCAAGGTAAGCAGATATGTTTTCTTCCCTTTAAGTGTTATGTTATTATTAATCCATCAAAAGTAAGAAATAAATATGTAAAAATAACAGAAACAGGCTGAATTTCTTACTCCCTCTTCAGGTAGCAAATGGAAGTTCAACCCCACCCACCTTTTCTCACCTAAGATTTTCATTTCTGTGAGAATATGCTGGAATTTTTTTTTTTTCCCTACCAGATTCTCCTCATCCTCATTTCCTAGCTTGTCATAGTGGAAGACCTTAAGTTATTTTTCTCTTTAGATAATCTCCAATCTAAAAATGGAATCCAGGGGTGCCTGGCCGGCTCAGTTCGTAGAGCATATGACTTTTGATCTTGGGGTTGTAAGTTTGAGCCCCGCACTGGGTATAGAGATTACTTCAAAATAAAATATTTTTTTTTAAAAAGTGAAAAGTAAAAAAAATAATAAAAATGGAATCCAGTCTGAGTAATATAATGTTCACCTTTTTTTCAAGTGGGAAAAGGAGGATCTTCAGGCAGGGTGATACTTTAGTTCTGCAGGCCTTTGCCCCTACTTAAGCATTTGGGCACTCTCTGTAGTAAATGGTAAATTTCTGGAGGGTAAGAACTATCTTATTTTATATTTGTATCCTTCCCATGTCTTACATAAAACCTTTCATGCCGTATTATGCATGGTGATTGATTATAGAATGACCGTTAAGTGGAAGGGATGTGAAGAAATTGTGTCAGCTCCACTATCTGGCTCTTTCTGGAAAAAGTTTGCTGATCCCTGATCCAAATAGTTCTCATATTTGTCTCTTCTAATCCATTCCTATTGTCTCAGTGCCCCATTTTGGTTTCTAATTCATTTTGCTCTGGAATGTTAACTCTTCACTGAAATTGTTTGCTTTAATTTTCCCTCCACCCTGCTTGTGCTTCCAAAGTGACTTGATGTACAGATTCGGTCATGTCTTATCTCCCTGTTGTCTGGAGGGTTAAGTTGTAAGCTGATCTTAGGGAATTCTGGGCACTTCCATGCTTCCAGCTCAGCTCCCACCACCACCCTCTCAGTTTAAGCTCCAGATATTTTCATTTCCAAAAGTAGTATTAGTGCCTTTCTGCATGCTTTCCCATCTGCCTCTAACACCTTTACCCAGCTTTTCTCCTGGTACATTTGCATTAATCTTTCAAGTCTCAGCTCAAATGCTACTTTTGCTTTGAAGGAGGCATTCTTGACTTTTTCTGGCAGACCTCTAGATTCGTTCTCTATGCTTCCACAATTACAAATAGACATAACCAACTTAAGCATTATGGTATCCAAACTATGATCAATTTAAGCAATCTGTTTTTCTGCTAAATTGTGTCTATCTCCCTTTAATTGTGTTACCTGCAGACCATTGTTACTCTCTCTTTGTATCCCCAGAAGATAGGACATTTGTTGGATAACTAAATGTGGAATTAAAAATTGTATTTTAAAATAGTGTTTTATGTAATTATGTTTGCTTACCCGAGATCTTGAGATTATTTAGAGTGAAACTGAATTTGTTATTTGCTGTATATATAAAATTTTTTTCTGTTTGTTAAAGAAAGGTAAAATGCACTCCAACAATGTTATTTTCTTAAAGGTTAGACTTAATGAAGCAGAAAAAAAATACAAAGATATTCAAGATAAACTGGAAAAGATTAGTCAAGAGACAAATGCACGAGCACCAGAATGTATGGCATTGAAAACAGATGTTACTGCTAAGAAAAAGGTCTACAATGAAGCTGAGGTGAGAGAAATTTTCCAACCTGGAATATTAAATACTGTATATCAAATATAAATAGTGTTCATTTACTTTTAAAAGTAGAGGTATTGTAATTAGGTGGAAATCTGTACTGCTTTCAGACTTTAAAAAATAATGGTTTCATGGGACCATTTATATACTTCGTTTTAAAAATACATTTTTGCAACATAAGAATAAAATAAATAAATAAATAAAAATAAAAAATAAAACACACAAAAAAATAAATAAAAAAAAAATAAAAATACATTTTTGCATATACTTCACCTCTGATTTGAAGATTTGGCAAAAGTGGATTTGAATAGGATATGTGTTTTTTTTATCTTACCAAACTGTGTCTAATTTTTTGTTAGGTTCTATATAATCGTTCTCTAAACGAGTATAGAGCATTAATGAAAGATGATGAACAGCTTTGCAAAAGGATTGAAGAACTAAAGAAAAGGTAAGATGGTTACTTTGCTATGTTCATGAATACCTCTTTTTGTAATACAGTGAACTCAGCGAAGTGGAGTATTATATTTTCCATATTATTTCTAAAGGAATTTTATCACATTGCTTTGTATTTTTTCAGTGTTCAGTTTTTCATTTAACATTTTCCATTTCGGATTATTTACTGTTAGTACTGATCAATCTTTGGAACCTGAACGATTGGAAAGACAAAAAAAAATATCTTGGTTAAAAGAGAGAGTAAAGGCCTTGCAGGATCAAGAAAGCTCAATCAATCAAGAGATCGAACAGTTTCAGCAAGCCATAGAAAAGGACAAGGAAGAACGGATCAGAATTAAGTAAGTTTCAACATCCTTAGAATGACTTTTTTCAATGACTTGAAAATCATGTGGTTTGTTCTTTATACGAAGAGAGAAAACATGTTTGGTTGTGGTTGTGGTTTCTTGTGCTGAATAAAATATCTTTAAAAATTACTTTTCCAACACTTGTAGAGCTGAACCCATTTCTGGGATTTCTAGTCCTCATCCCTATGGCATCATTTCTTTTTTCGTGCTAAGTTTTGAGGACTTGAGACTATTTTTCTCTACTAACACAATCATTTTCAAATAAAGAAATCTGCCTTTAGTCTTTAGAGTAGCTGAGTCATTCACTGGTATGCAGGTGTTGAGGGGAATGACTGGATATTTCTGTATAACTGTATCACACATCTCTTCTGTTTTTCTGCTTTTATTTTTTAGGAGAGAAGAATTAGATGTCAAGCATACACTGAGCTATAATCAGAGGCAACTGAAAGAATTAAAAGATAGTAAAACTGATCGACTGAAAAGATTTGGCCCTCACGTTCCAGCCCTTCTTGAAGCAATAGATGATGCCTATAGACGTGGGCATTTTACCTGTAAACCCGTGGGCCCTTTAGGTATTTGTCACCATTTGGTCAGGATATAAGAAATGTTAAAAATAAGGTTTTATTTTCAGGAAAAGGGTCTATTGAATCTAGTTTTAAAACTGTTACCAAAGAGGGCACCTGGGTGGCTCAGTTGGTTGAGCGACTGCCTTTGGCTCAGGTCATGATCCTGGAGTCCCTGGATCAAGTCCCACATCGGGCTCCCTGCTCGGCAGGGAGTCTGCTTCTCCCTCTGACCCTCCCCCTCTCATGCTCTCTCTCTCTCTCTCATTCTCTCTCTCAAATAAATAAATAAAATCTTAAAAAAAAAAAAAAAAAAAAACTGTTACCAAAGAGCTATGTAATTATATGTGGATTTTAATTGTACATATTTTAAGAAGTAATTATAAAAATCACTTTAAACTTTATAATTTCCCTTTTACATTTTTAAAGCATAAAAGAGCCAAAAGCAAGAAAACTTAGGAAAAGGAAAAAAAAAAAACTATAGAGTTGAATAATCTGATCTGATTTTTTTCCTGAATGAATGAATGAATGAATGAACTAATTTGAATATAATTGATTAGTTCAAAAATCTAGTGACAGTGAACTAATTTGAATATAATTGATTAGTTCGAAAATCCAGTGACTGTTGATTTACACGGGAGTTAGTGGGGTGTTCTTTTCACTGTCATTATAAAATGACTTGTCTTCTTACTTCTGTTTAGGTTGGACAACATTGTTTCTGAGTCTTTTTTCAAGTGGAAAACCTGGGTTTATTGAATTATCCCTATATATACATGAGATTAAAAAATACTTGTAATCGGGGCGCCTGGGTGGCTCAGTTGGTTAAGCGACTGCCTTCAGCTCAGGTCATGATCCTGGAGTCCTGGGATCGAGTCCCGCATCGGGCTCCCTGCTCAGCAGGGAGTCTGCTTCTCCCTCTGACCCTCCTCCCTCTCATGCTCTCTGTCTCTCATTCTCTCTCTCAAATAAATAAATAAAATCTTAAAAAAAAAAAAAATACTTGTTGAATTCTCCTGAGGAGTTATCTCTAATTCTATAACATCATTAAGTGAAAATGATGCTGTCAATATAAATGTATTGTTGCTAAAGTACTCTATTACCGTGTAAGTACAGCATTACACACGGTGTTAAGTGTTATGGTAAAATCTCATATAAATGATATGTACCTCTATACCAGGATCCATTTAAACGGATGAGGCATTTTCTCTTTGTTTCTAAAATCCCAGTGTTAATCAGTTTGACAGAAAATAATAAAGAATCTGTAAACCTTTTGGCTTACTTTTCAAAATGCCATTCAGAGGCTGGAAGAGTATACATTACATAGAGAAACCTCTGTTGATTTACACGGGAGTTAGTGGGGTGTTCTTGTCACAGGATTTGATGGGTTTTTCTCCCCCGTGTATCCAGTGGATATGTAGGGATCTCCCATTTAGTTAACATAAGATCTGTAATGTCATTTAAGCTTCTTTATATGAAAATATTTTGAAGTCATTTATAAACTATTATAAGAAGAAAGTTACATTAATATTTCAAAATATTAATGGGCCTTTTAATAATTTTCTCTCACCTTTAGGAGCTTGCATTCATCTTCGTGACCCTGAACTTGCTTTGGCTATTGAATCTTGCTTGAAAGGACTTTTGCAGGCCTATTGTTGCCATAACCATGCTGATGAAAGAGTTCTTCAGGCACTGATGGAAAGGTTTTATTCACGAGGGACCTCCCGGCCACAGATAATAGTTTCTGAGTTTCGGAATGAGATGTATGATGTAAGACACAGGTGAGGTGTCGGTAGCTAAATGCCGTTTCGGGTTGTGCTTAATCATGTACAAGATCAGAAAGAATTAAGACATTTTTATATTAACCAAATCTGTAGTACTGATTGATGAAATGTCATCAAGCCACTTCTTTAACTTCAGTCAAGGCACTGGAGACACATAGATAAATAAGACATGCTCTCTGCCCTTGAGCTCCTTACACAAGGTCTGTTGTGGGAGCCAGGACAGGGGAAGGGACATGGTGCAGCATAGAAATTATACTGAGGGAGGTGATACAGACCACGGCAAATTAAGGGGTATGTGGGGGTGGGGGTGCTAAGGAGGAGCTTTGGCACTCAGTACTCACAGTTCAACTCTCAAGGTGCTTTGCAGATTCCGTAAAGAGCTGTGGTAGTTTTCTTTGATGACCCTAACAAACCTTCTCAAGGGCACAGTATTTAAACTGGCCTCTTTCTAACTGCCTGACTGGCTAGTCACTTTACCTTCAAATATAATACATATTTTCTAATTGAATGTCAGCTTTGATAAAATTGGATCACAAAATGCAGATGTAGTTCAGATGAGAGAGTAATTATATGTTAGTAGGCAGGTTAGCGAAGAAATTAGAGAAAAGAGGACAAATAACCAAGTCTTCTGACCTGATGAATTTGTCAAGTGATAGATAAGGTTTAATTGCCTTATAAGCAAATAGAATTCTATGTGCAAAACACATAGTGGCATGGCATCATAAATTATTCTGCAAAAAATAGCATTTGCATCATAGATAGCGAGGGGCAGATTAAAGCGCTATTTAGGGGACGCCTGGGTGGCTCAGCTGGTTGTGTGTCTGACTCTTGGTTTTGGCTCAGGTTATGGTCTCAGGGTCATGAGATAGAGCCCCACGTCGGGCTCCACGCTCAGCAGGGACTCTGCTTAGGATTCTCTCCCCTTCTCTCTGCCCCTCACCCTGCTTGCACACACACTCTCTCTCAAATAAATAAATAAATCTTTAAAAAAAATAATAAAAATAAAAGCGTTATTTAGGACAAAATAACACTTGTTACTTGAATGTAAGAGAATGAAAGAATTGAGGATGACTGCTAGGTCTCTGGACCGAGCAGATGTGCTCGTAACTGGTTTAGGAGAAGTGTAAGGAAGAAGTGGATTTGTCAGAAGTGGATAAATCCTGTTGTGGAATTGTCAGTTTTGAGCTTTTAGACTAGAAATAAGGATTTGGGAGTTAAGGGTAAACTCTTTTCCCAGTCTGCATGAAAGTATGACTCTACATTAGTTTCTGGCTCTAATCCTGATTTCTAAAACCTGATAGAAGGGAAATTTCAGTTGTTCTGTCAGACAACATTGCTTATGGTAAAGATGCCCCCTGGCAGGCTAGTTGCATCTAGACTGAGAAAACTCTGGACAGCTGGGGTGGAAAGCCAGTATGGTGACTTGCAGTTGAGCATTTCCCTATGGGGACCTTGGAAACTGTCCCTAGGAGATTACTGGGAGAGCTTGGCTTCTGCACCAGCACTGTCCTTTGGGGAACAGGGACGGGTCCTGAACAGCTGATGGGACTGCGCCGTCGTGACCCGCTGCACGAACTCCCATGAGTAGCAATGCCTGGCACCGCCCTGCCGGCACGCCGTGTTTCCCAGTGGTTGTATTTCCAGTCTCCTAGCAGCGTATCATCCTGTGAAGGGGTGCAGAATGAGCTCCATTTGTGCAGCATGAGGTCACTTCTTGGAAATAGGTGAATCTGTGTGCTGAGAATGAGGGCCTTCGGAGTTGGGTAGGTTTGGGGAGAGTGAGTGAGGAAGCTGAACCAACATCCACTCAGGATTCAAACGCCCATGGCTGCAGGATTTTTGGCTTTTTAATAGGTTTGAGGTGAGAATGTGTACGTACTCTTGGACTGATACTATAGTAGGATTTGTTAGAATGGGTAGTTATTACAGAAGAAGAGGGACGCAATTGAGAAAGGAGTTCATTGATTGGCTATGAGGCTGGAGAGGGAAGAAAGTGAGGTGTGGGAGCAAATCTGTAAATGTACTGGATGCAGGGAGAGAGCAGGTTGAACAGGCGTGGTAAGCCGGGAACAGTGCGGCTGTAGCTCGTGGTGACAGTGGGAAGTCAGAGGTTAATGGAGCAGCTCCAGGCATTCGCCTTTCAGAGTAGTTTGGAATTATGCTGAAGTTCAAGTTGGTGGCGTAGTAGAGGAAGTTGGATGTTACTTTTAGGTGTTGACAGAATATTGACAGGTCGGGTATGTTTAATATTCTCTCAACTTCACCTGCCTTTGCAGACATTTTGGAGGGGTGATTTTTGGTGAAGAACTTTATCAGTATATATTGTGGTTCAAACACTAAATTTTAAAACTGGTCATGTTATTTTATTTATTTTTTTTTCTTTTTTTTTTTTTTATTTATTCATTTGAAAGAGCGAGAATGAGAGAGAGAGCGAGCACATGAGGTGGGGAGGGTCAGAGGGAGAAGCAGACTCCCTGACAAGCAGGGAGCCCGATGCGGGACTCGATCCCGGGACTCCAGGATCATGACCTGAGCCGAAGGCAGTCGCTTAACCAACTGAGCCACCCAGGCACCCTGGGCATGTTATTTTAATCTAGAAAAGAATAGTAAACCACCCTTGGAATATTAGAATGAATCCGGTATATTAGGCTCACATTAGAGAACCTCATCAGAGGAGCCTAGGGGAGTGTATAGCTCCGCAGGAGATGCTGGGGATAATTTCCTTTCCTATAAAAACGGCTTTGTTCACTCTGAAGTACAGGCTGCTGAACTGCTCGGCATGCTGGCCACCCAGTTCTGTGTCTGCATCTGTACATCTGTCCTGCTCAGCACAAGAGATGCTCTTGCTCTCCAAAGCTCTTTATTCTACGTAGGCTCTGAATTGCATGCTTTCTTGCCTGGTTTGTTGGACTGTTTCTTTTAATTACTTCAACTCTCTCCTGAACCTTAAACTTTCCTACTCCATTGACTTCTCTCTGCTTTAAATCCTAGGCCAGTGGTTTGCCTCCCCCATCTTGAGAACAAACTCCTTTAAATTAGAGAATAACATTATCAGTCCCATGGTTATTATGAGGATTCAATGAGCTGATATTATTTATAATATTCTTAGAATTCCTAGCACATAATATAAATGTTTGCTATTTAGATAAAATAAACCTATTACAGGTGTTTTCAAATGTTATCAGATATTTTCCATTGTCTTACATCTATAGTCACACATTAAAAAGATATGTATATAAAATTAAAGTTTGATAATACTTACATATTTTTTAATATGTAATTTTTTAATACCTACATATTTTTGTCTCCTAGAGCTGCTTATCATCCAGAGTTTCCAACAGTCCTGACAGCTTTAGAAATAGATAATGCAGTGGTTGCAAACAGCCTGATTGACATGAGAAGCATAGAGACAGTGCTTCTGATCAAAGTAAGATAAGATGCTTGCTGCATTTTATATACTTTTAAATTTCCAAAACTGAGGTTGGCTATATAAATCCTCTTCCCCTTCTATATTATGGAGTTGTTAATATGTCTTACTGCTGTACTTTTACCTTATAGGAAACTATAGAATAATACAGAGCTGGTTGGTTTATGCATTTTCTGCCTGAAGGAACTTTATATTTTTGGCTGTTCCTCAGTAAATATTTCACAAATACATATGATTTTGGTGAATGATGCCATAAATTTTTTGTTATTCGTTCTTTCTTAATTGTCTGCCAAATCCATTTTTTATTTACCCTTATAGATAAGTGTTTATTATTCTATTTTTAAGCAAATACTCTACTTGATATTTTATGAGTTCTTTATCTTAAAACTTTAAAAGTATTGTAAAATAAATCATTATTTACTCTTCACTTGTGTATTTTTATGTATTTGTTGGGTTAGATCATCATTGGCATAAATTTGCTGAGAAGGAACTAGGAAATTCAAAACAGAGATCTAATCAAAACAGTTTGTTTATCTCAATAACAAACTGAGAAGTAATTATATCAGTAATTTAAATATATATACCGTGTATGTGTTGCAGGGTCATATTGTAATTATCTGTGTGCTTTGCTCACTCATATTTTAGAAGGATCCTTGAAAGGAAATAATGAAGTCCTCTTGTCTGTCCCCAGAGATTGGCTAGGCCTCCATTAAGCCTGATGCCCATTTTACTTCTTCTAGGGCTTATTTCTAGGCTTTCCCCCATGTAATTCAGTATACTCATCTTTTATTGCAATTTGCTGTTCATTCACATCTTTCTTTTCAGGCTGTTAAAGTCATTTAGAAAAAGTAAGATTTGTGTGAACTCTGATCTAAGTAGACACTTTCATGTGAAAATGTACTTAAAATTTTAATTTTAATGGATAACAGCATTAGAACTTAAAATCAGTTTGTCATAAAACCTTGCTTACTATATTGTTCTAAAGGCTGTCAGTAGTTTTAATTCTTTGAATCATGAGAGTTGTTTTTGAAATTCTTTAATTTTTTGGAATTATTTTACTTATGTTTAAATGTTTAAATAAAAATACTTGAATCTTAAAATAATGATAGGTAACATTTTGAAATTGTGTATCAGAAATGCTATGGCATAACTTCAAAAATGTATTTCTCCCCCCTGTATTTTTTTAGAATAATTCTGTAGCTCGTGCAGTAATGCAGTCCCAAAAGCCACCCAAGAATTGTAGAGAAGCTTTTACTGCTGATGGTGATCAAGTCTTTGCAGGACGTTACTATTCATCTGAAAATACAAGACCTAAATTCCTAAGCAAAGATGTGGATTCTGAGATAAGGTTAGTGTCAATGTAGCATTGCTGTGGTATTCCTACTGCTTCCTATAGGGTTTGGTTCCCTTCATATTACTCTGTTAGTAAGTTATTTCAGGGAAGGATTGTGAGTAATCTGTTCAGGCTTAAAAGATCATTTAGCTGGGTGTAGAATTCTAGGTTGATGGTTATTTCCCATCATCACTTTGACAATAGTATTCTGTGCTAAGAACACAAAGTGTGTTCCCTTGACCAGCTGGTCTGCAGACAAAGGAGCTGAACTCAGAATGTGCATCAGCTGCATCACTATCCCATCGTTTAGTTCTGACTTCGCTCAGTGAGAGCATAGGTTCCATATTCCGTCTCCGACTGTACCTTGAGTTGCACTGGTCTAAAAAGATCAGTCGGCACAATTAGAGCACGCATCTAGGAAGATCGAGCTGCCAGGGGAGACAAAGCGAGAAGTTGAACAGAAAACTAGTAAGTGTATTTAAGGAGATTCACAAGCATTGCAGAAAGGAATTTTGGTACCAAAAAACATGATTCTCTAACCAAATGAATTCAGGTGACAAATTAATGGGTTGAAACTAAATTAGTGACCTGCAAGACCTTCAGTAGAAGAACTTAGAACTTAAGTAAAATAAATGTCTAAGAAAATTGAGTAAAGGTGAAAGTATTCTAAATGACTTATATATGTAAGAGAAATGAGAGTTTTTTTGAAATATCTCTCTTGTTTTCAGATAGGACTAGTCATTTTTATGTGACTTTGAGAGCAGTGTAAAGACCAGGAGCCATAATGGTTATCAGAAAGTTTGGTAAAACTTATTTAGCAACAGAAAAAAGTTGAATGACCAGCAACTTGGTGTCATGGCACAAAGCACACATTTTACATTGACACTGAGTCTTAGAGGATAAATGTGTGAATGTGCTGTGTAAAACTGACCTGTAAAGTGGTAAGCTTTTGTCCGTTGTGCCATGACATTTAAATCCAGCCTTCCCAATTCTTAACGTGGTAAGACTAAATTATATGGTATTCAAGCAGACCTGAGTACAAATATATAAAAATATCATGGTGGTATTACACTGTGTTGCTTACACTTCCCTTTCAACAAAAATTGCCTTGTGTATTTGTGTCCCGAGTCTTCAAAAAAAAGAAGTATGGCACTATTGGAAGAGATTGTAAATATACCCCAGTAGCAAGTTGGCATCTCTGATTCCAACATTTTAGTAGTAAAGGTTTCAAGTTGATACTTACCTTCATTTTTTAGTTAACAGTATTCACATTAATGTGTAGGGGACACATCTTTTGTTTTAAAAGCCAGATGAACACTGGTTTTTAAAAAATTGTTTCCCACATTGATAAACTTTATTAATTATAAATATAGTGTTCTGGGTATTATGTTAATTTGAGTCAGTCAGACAGAGAAAGACAAATACTGTATGATTTCATTTATATGTGGAACCTAAAAAACAAAACAAATGAACAAATAAAATAAAACAGAAACCGACTCATAGATATGGAGAACAATCTGGTGGTTGAACAGTCTCTCTCCAAACGGGAGAGGGATGATGGGATGGCTGAACGTGATGAAGGGGATTAAAAGGTACAGACTTCCAGTTGGAAAATAAGTAAGTCATAGAGATGTAATGTACGGTGTAGGGAATATAATTAATATTAATTGTTATTAATATTTTAATGACTTTGGTGACCGGTGGCTGCTAGTTTATTGTGGTGGTCACCTCATAATATATAAATTTTGAATCACTATGTTGTACACCTGAAACTAATGTAATATTGTATGTAAACTACACTTCAGTTAAAAAAAGAGAGAGAAAAAGGCTAATAGCTAAAAAAGCCAAGTCTGAAAGAATGTAGGAGGGAGATGAAGGCACTGAAGGGAATAAAATTCCTGGATTTTCTGGAAAAAATAAAAATAAATTTTAAAAAATGAAAGAAAAGAAAGAAAATATACCAAGTTTTAATGATACTTAGATGACTTTTGTGTCATCTGTTTTGACCTGAACCAGTGTGATAGTTGCCTGATATTTGGAAGTTTAGAAAAATTCACTAGTGTTTTTTAAATATAGAAAAGTATAAATTGGGAAACAAAAGTAGCTCATAATCCTGTTTCTCCATGGTCCTTGTTGACATTTAAAAAAATAATTAAAAGTAATATATGCATATGGTGAGAAAGTTCAAACAGTGTAGAAAAGTATACAGAATGAACTGTTCTCATCGCTTTTTTGTTGTTAAAGATTTCATTTATTTATTTGAGAGAAAGAGAGTTAGTGAGAGAGAGCACAGGCGGGGAGGAGAGGGAGAAGCAGGCTCTCCGCTGAGCAGGGAGCCCTAGGCGGGACTCCATCCCAGGACCCTGGGATCATGACCTGAGCCACCCAGGCACACCCTCATCCCTCTTTCAAAAGTAAATAGTTGAGTAGTTTCTTATACGTGTTCCCAGGTTATATCCTTGTACCATACAGTGACTTTTTGAATTGAGATATAATTCACATACTATAAAATTCACTCTATTTTAAAGCATACAATTTAGAGATTTTTATTATATTCACAGGGTTGTGCAAACATCACAGTTAGCTAATTCCTGAACATTTTTATCACACCAGAAGAAAAACCCATACCCATTAGCCGTTATTACTTCCGCAATCCCCAACTCCTGGCAACCACTAATCCTTTTATGCGTTTGTCTTTATGGATTAGTCTATTCTGGATGTTTCATATAAATGGAAACAAATGATATGCAACCTTTTGTGCCTGGCTTCTTTCACTTACGTGTAAAGTTCATCCATACTGTGCTATGTATAAGTATGCATATGGTTTCTCTATCTTGCTTTTTTTCTGTCAATGTTGTATCTGGCAGTCGTATCATGTCAGCACATTTAGAACTGCCTCTCGGTATGGCTATATCAATATGCTGCTTAACCAGTTCCCTGTTGATGGACCTAGGAGTTGTTTACCATTTCCTCTTATAACAGTGCTGCAGAGCGAACACACGTATGTGGATCTCGGCATAGTTTTGGAAGTGTGTGCATAGCTTAAATTCTTAATAGTAGAAATGCTAAGTAAAAGGATATATGAATTTTTAAGTTATTTAATAGCTGTTGCCAAATGACTATAATTGATATATTAATAAATAATTTATGGTTCAATTTTAAATATTTAATAATATTAAGCAATTACTAATATTTTTGATATGTGTAATATTAAATGAGCTTTAATATTTATTAAAATAGATAATTTAACATTTTTATTTTATTTTTGAATAAGTTGACCATTTAACAGTGATTTCTAAATGACTCCAGAAAGATTCCCCGATTTCCCCTCATACTGCAAGTATATGAAGGGTGCTTCTCTACACCCTCTTCAACTCAGCACTGACAGATTCCTATTGATGAAAAACGGCCCTGGAATTTAAGCGAAAAGATTATATTTCACAATTTCATAATGAACAAAGTGACTTCTTAACAGGCAAAGGGTTTTAAGTTCTAACTACAGGTAGTGACTTGGTTTGATTATCCCAGTGTGGTTTCCCATGATGAAAGTACACATAAGGTGCAAGAAAAATGTCTAAGGTAGCTCTTGGAATAATTCCAGTGCAGTTACTGCTTACATACAAGATCAGAAAAAAAAAGTTTACCTGTGGATTTTTTAATTGCCAAAATACTGTAACATATTTAATGTAATTTTCCAAAGTGTGTTTTTTGAATTTATTCTTTCATGTGTTCTTTAAAACAGATATTGAATGAGTACTTAATGTGCCAGGTCCTGATCTGGGCACAAGACACAGCACAAAATAAAGTGCAAAATATTCCTTATCCCAGAGCTTATATTAAGAAGGTGGACATAGAATATAGATGAATACTAACTAGGTCAAGTGCTGTGGAGACAAACATAGCAGACTAAGGGCTGGAGACTGGGGAGAGTACTACTTGGATAGGCAGCTCAGGAGCCTGTGTTCATCCCACGCAAACAACGCACACATGCTTAGCTTAGTTGTACCTGTTTCATTAGGTAGCAAAGGTTCTTGCTCCGTATAAAAATTAATTAAAAACTAAGGAGGAACACTATATGAAAGTGTGTAACAGGGGTGCCTGGGTGCCTCAGTCAGTTAAGCGTCTCCCTTTGGCTCAGATCTCAGGGTCCTGGGATCGAGCCCCACGTCGGGCTCCCTGCTCGGCAGGGAGCAGAGGGAGAAGCAGGCTTGTGCTCTCTGTCACTATCTCTGCCGCTATCTCTGTCTCTCTCTCAAATAAATAAATAAAATTAAAAAAAAAAAGAAAGTGTGTAACAGAATTCATCCTACCCAGTGAAAAGGAAGTTGTACAGTCTAGTAGTTTTGTTTATACAGATTATGTTGATTGCTTAAATTTATTCTAAGTATTCAGGAAATAGTATAACAATATTGTCTGTGCTTATTTCGCTGGTTTTTATTTTTGGTTTAGGCTCTGGGTTTCAGAGTTTGTTTACTTGGTAAATATTTTATTGTTTTTAGTGCAGTTACATTTATTTGTTAATAAGGGTATAGATTTATATATAGTAATTCAAATATTTCTTACTAAATCTTGAGGAGCCATCTTAAGTGCTTATATCTATCCCCATTTTTACCAGAAATACCACAAGTATTGTCCTCCTTTCCTCATGTTTATCATTCATTCAGCTGACATTTTTTGAGTGTTTTTTCTAATTTTGAGGATTCTGGCAAGGTAGCACAGTTACAGTATTTCATCAAATTTAAGCTGCTCTGTTACTAAAAAAGAAAAAATGCTGCTAATTGAACCATGAACTGGAACATGATTTCAGAGATGTTAAAATGTGGAAAAATATGCATCTTACTGAAAAATGGCACAGAGACAAGTTTTTAACTGCAAAAGTGGTTCTCTCCCACCAGGCACATGACTTTGGGAGACAGGTGCTTGGGTCAATGAGGCAGGAAGAGGTGACTTCTGAAGTCAGTGACTCCTGTCGCAGAGACCCTTTATGGCTTTGGCATCTGCTGACTTTTTCTTTTCCATCCCTTTTCATTGTCCCCCTCTCCATCCCTTCCATTCCCGCAGTTACCCAACGACAGCACATGATGAGCTATCGGGTTTCTCTGTTTCACTTCTCTGTGCTTTGGTGTCTGTCTTTCCATGTCCCTAGTTGGTCCAGCTGAGGGAACCTTTAGAGAATACAGTTCAGTTGTCACTTGCCCCAGACTCACTTGTATGTTCCCGTAGTTCTGTAAGATATAAAGTATCCTGTTCACATTTTAACGTTATGGCTTATTTCCTGGGTTTTTTTCCTGTTTGTTTGATTCTTTTATGTCTTATTTCTGTTTCCACCTCTGCCTGTCACTGTGCATGGTGCCTGCCACACAGAAATCATAAATATTGGGGTGCCTTGGTGGTCAGTAGTTGGGCGTCTGCCTTCGGCTTGGGTCATGTTCTCGGGGTCCTGGGATCAAGCCCTGCATTGGGCTCCCTGCTCTGTGGGAAGCCTGCTTCTCCCTCTCCCACTCCCCTGCTTGTGTTCCCCCTCCCACTCCCCTGCTTGTATTCCCTCTCTTGATGTGTCTCTGTCAAATACATAAATAAAATCTTTAAAAAAAAATCATAAATATTTCTTAATGAAATGCGTAAAATATGACTCCAGTTTAGATGTCTTCTGAAATGTCTGTATTTTCATGTTATTGATAACTTGGTAGGAATATAGAACTGGTCTAACTAGATAGAGTTTTGCAAATAAGCTATCACAAATAAGCTCTTCTTTGTAAAGACCTAAAATATTTGTGATTTTCAGAAACAGATTTAAGGTGTTTTTTTATCCTCTCCTCTCTGTCCAGTGACTTAGAGAATGAAGTTGAAAATAAGAAGGCCCAGATATTAAATCTTCAGCAACATTTGTCTGCCCTTGAAAAGGATATTAAGCACAATGAAGAGTTTCTTAGAAGGCGCCAAATACATTATAGAGAGTTAAAGGTAAAAAAAAAAAAAAAAAGTCCCTTTGTTTTTCTCAACTTACCTACTTACAAGTTATTTTTAAGATCCTACCATTCATGTAGTTTTAGAGGAGCAGTTCTCAAGTATTTTGGCCTCAAGACCCTCTACAGTCTTAAAAGAGCTTTCATTTATGTGGTTTTAACATAATTATTAAAAATTAAGGGGCGCCTGAGTGGCTCAGTTGGTTAAGTGGCTGCCTTTGGCTCAGGTCATGATCTCAGGGTCATGGGATCGAGCCCCGCATTGAGGTTTCCCAACTCAGTGGGGAGTCTTCTCCCTCTGCCCTTCATCCCACTCATGCTCGCACGCGCTCGCTCGCTCTTTCTCTCTCTCAAATAAATCTTCTAAAAGATTGAAACAAACTTTAAGAATATTTATTGGTTCACTTAACAAAAACTCATGTGTTAACAAAAATAACATTTTAATGGCAAATAGCTATGTTTTTCCAAAACCAAAAATATTCCGTGAGAAAATTGACATTTTTATATTTTTGTAAATAGTAAAAAGGTTGCATAATGTCCTGGTGTTTTTATGAAAATAGTTTTGACCTCATGACCCCTTGAAAGAATCTCAGAAGCCCCTGGGGAGGGTTGCTGCTTGGGTTGTACTTTGTGAAGCCCTGCATTGGAGTAATCTTGCCATAACCTCAATCTGAGTGTTTCAGAAAAGGATTTACTCAATGGATTCAACATTGTCATCATTTTAAATGCTAAGATGGAGTTCTTCCATCTTTTTTTCCATGTTTGTGGATTAGAAATAAGGGTGATCACTGCAGACTTTATATACAACTTCCTTTTGTTCATTTAATACTACTGTGGTCTCTTTTCATTAGCTACAGAACCCTCTGTAACAAAAGCAGAGTAAGAACTTTGTGGATTAAGTGCAATGAAGAGTTTCTTAGAAGGCGCCAAATACATTCTGGGGTTTTGTTATGTTTTTAAATTTATTTATTTATTTATTTATTTATTTATTTATTTATTTATTTATTTTTTAAAGATTTTCTCTTTTTAGCTAATCTCTACACCCAACATGGGGCTCGAACTCAGAGCCCTGAGATCAAGAGTCACATGCTCTACTGACTGAGCCAGCCAGGCACCCCCTTAATTTATTTTATGTTACTAAAATTGAAATACTTTTCTTTCAGGTAAAAATAACAGAAAGTATTTCTGAAATTCGGGAACTTGAGAATATAGAAGAACACCAGTCTGTAGATATTGCAACGTTGGTAAGATTCTTTTCCTCAGTTTAAATGTAATGTTAAAGGACACAGCAGTCATTTAGGTTAATAGCATCTACTCTCAGCCTTTTTTAAATCCTTTTAATTGGAGCTACTTTTTATGGTTGCTGTCTTCATTTGCATATAAGGTAGAAACTACCTGGCATTCAGGTTCCTTAATGTTTTGTATATGTAACGTGCATGCATAATAATTGATTTTGTCTTCTACTACATGTAATTAAAAAAGCTTAAACAGTGTGCTTCTAACAAGTGGCCTTTCAAACCAAACAGCCTAGCATAGTATATTTCACAGTTAATCAGAATTAATATTAATGGATATCTTTTAGTCAGTTTAGCTGGTCTCTGCATTGTTGGGGTTTTTTCCCCCTAAGAAACTGGTTTGCATTTTAATTTATCACACATTTGTTACTCTATTTTTTTTTTTCAAGGAACTGTTTATTACATTCAGCTTAACTTCTCTGAGTTACAGTAAGCAGTGCATTAGATAGATTGGGGTCTGGTTAAAATGGTTAAGTATTTATTAAGTATCCACTCTGCACCAGGCACCATATTAAGTGCTGGGGATATCACAGTGAGCAAGATAGATAAAGTCTGTTGGAGCTTTACGTGAATGAGAATTTGTCTTCATTTTTTATTAGTAATCTTGTTCTTCACTGTTTATTTTTCTGCCTTAATTCCATAGATTTCTTGAAGGTATGGATTATGTCTTGGTCATCTTTGTTTACTCAGCATCTAACATATTGGCTGGCGCTAGTTAAATACACTGCATTTTGAAAGAAAGAGTAACTAGATAAAAGTTCTTCCGTTTGATTATGACCTCAAGCACAGTACAGTTTAACTTATCTCCCAAATGTCAGTCTTTTTGTTGAATCATTTTCTTCTACTTCCTGATTTACCACTAAGAGTATGAAAATATGCTAGTGTTCTTTGTATTTGTCTTTCATCAGATTGCCTAGAATCTGTAGTGTCTCCTCTCTCAGAATTTCACAGTTTTTCTATTTCATAACTTAAGTATTTTAATTAACTCCATATGCTCTGTAAATGTAACCAGGAAGACGAAGCCCAAGAAAATAAAATCAAAATGAAAATGGTTGAGAAAAATATGGAACAACAAAAAGGAAATATGGAACATCTTAAAAGTCTGAAAATAGAAGCAGAAAACAAGTATGATGCAATTAAACAGAAAATTAATCAGCTTTCAGACCTAGCAGATCCACTTAAGGTATATGTTATTGTTATTCTGTTATATGTGTATTTTATGTTTCAGTTGTATATCCATGCTTTACTTGCTAGATATTTCTCTAATAGAAGTTATGGTCAAATGTAAATATAACCACATAAAATGGGATATAAACCAAATTTTCATCAGTAGGTCAATTAGAATTAAACACTTCTGTTCATGTCTTTAGGACCATAAATTGCCAAATTGTTTCCCCCAGAAGATTACAGCTTTTGTTCCCTCTTTATTTTGTGATTTTCTTCTTCTTTTTTTTAGAACCAGAAGCAGGGATATTTTCTTGTCCGTCTGTTCTGTTTCTTTGCTCACCTATTCTCTTGTCCCTCCTTGCTTTCCTTCAGTAATTCAGGGATTAGTTATATAAAAATAGAGTTATATATTAGATATAAAAGCCAACTTGAAATAAAGTACCACTGAATTCTTATTTATTGATATATCTCTGTTAATGTTCCAGCCTGAATTAAACTGGCTTTTTTTTTTTAAACAAATGCTTTTTGAAACCAAATTGAGAAAATAAAATTATTTAACAATTAAATGGTGTACATTTCCCTGTGTTGTTTATTAGCTTAGTTATCAATAACTTATTATCATCATCATTTTTATGCATAGTTCAATTCTCAGAACTTTAAATTTTATTTATAAGACTCTGAGAAGAATGAATAGTATATTTTAAGACTCTGAGAGGGGTATGTTGATGATACGATTTCAACATAACCCCCCCCCTTTTTTTTTTAAGGAAAACTACCCCCTTTGAATCAAAATGGATTTAGGTATTTTAATAGGTTAAAAGAATTGTGCCTGTAACTTTTACTATACTTGTGTCCATTGAAAATTTTAGAAAACCTAACTTACAGAGTTGGGAGAATATGAAAGGAAGGTACCAGACGTCCTGCCTGGAAAAACGGTTTGCTGTGGTCTCTGTGGAGCAGCTGTCTGGGGCTGGGCTCCCGCCTGACTTTACAATCCAGGGCAGCTGAACTCTTTTCTCTTCGCGATAAGAATAAAAAATGGGAAAACAGACGGATAAGTTATATGATCAAGAAGAATATAAAGTTTATTTTTTTTAAAGATTTTATTTATTTATTTATTTATTTGACAGAGAGAGACCACATGAGTGGGGAGGGGGGGTGCAGCAGGCTTCCCGCTGAGCAGGGAGCCCAACGTGGGGCTCGATCCCAGGACTCTGGGATCATGACCTGAGCCGAAGGCAGATGCTTAACCGACTGAGCCACCCAAGCACCCCAAAGAATATAAAGTTTAAATATTAAAATTGTGAGGAAGGAAAATGTATTGAAGGTAATATTGAGGAAAATAATTAAGAAAGCATTTGCTACAGGAAATAAGAAAAAGGCAAAAAGTCTAAAAAAAGGCAAAATTAGTTTTTTAAAAAGAAAACAAAATAAGACAGAGTAAGATAAGTTTTAAAAATCGTCAGGAATAAGCAAGGTAGAATTCAGGACTCAGGAATTAGAGAAGTGAAGTCACAACAAAGGTAGGATTAAAAAAATATTTTAAATGGGTAAGGGATGGAACAGGGTGACTTAAAATCAAAATGATGAAGTACATTAAAACAGTATAGGAAAGGAAAGATAAGCACCTAAATTATTCATCCCAGACAATTTAAAATTCAAAACAAGAAATGATGAAGAGTAAGCTCTGTTCTGTTCTTTTAGGGACCTCTAGGCTAACACAACTCCTGGAATTGGGAGTGTGAATAAGTATAAGAGCAGAAAATACGGGCAGAAGGCAGTAAGGATTCTTGATCTTAGCTCTTTGCCTAGGCTGCAAATAACTGAAAGCCAGGAGGCGAGTCCTTCAGTGAACTTCCTTGCAGTCAGCCAGTAGCCCAGAGGCTTTTCCTCCCCAATGTCATGTCATGCTGTACGGCAGGACCAACAGGCTAACAAAATAATTTAATTCCTGAGACACTGCCATCAAGATGTACTAGCAGGTTTAAGATGTAATCTGTTTGCTTTTAGGACAGTTGTTCATGTTGTGTCAGGGGTGATGAGGGGTAAAGTACTCTGTTCAGATACATAGTCATTGAAATTTTGGTATGGGGAATATTTTTCTCACTTTGACCAGTTTGTTTTGATTTATATTGCAAATTTAATGCTTTAGTTTTAGTTGCAAGTTAAATTTGTTGTTGGGGGAACGTGACCCACATTGAGCCTACAAAGAGAGATGGTCTACATTATTAGAGTAGGAAGGCCTCTCAGTTTCTAATATAGAGAGTTTGTTTGGATCAAGGGTGACTGTGCTTTTAAAAATTCCAAGGTAATGTTTTATAGTTTTTTAAAACCTCATAATTGATACAGGTTTATATGAAACAAGTGGCAGTGATAATACTGTAGCAGTTTATCTAATGTTGCTGAGTAACGCTGGTTGCCTTAGACATCCAAGAGAAGAACATTTTGTAGTGATTATGTTCCTTCTACCATCCCAGCTTGCTTTTTAAAGGCTGTAACTTCTTAAAGGTTAGAAATGCTACAGGTTTGGGGCCACATCAGACTTTAATTTTAGACCTAATCCCTCCTAGTCCTCACCTAGCCCAGGATGGGTGTCGTTAACTGGCTGTTCATATCTGTAGGCCTTCCTTTCATCAGTAAAATGAAATGAAATAAAATACTCTCTTGCTTCACTTTTGTTTTTTGTTTTTTTTTAAAAGATTTTATTTATTTATTTGACAGAGAAAGACACAGCGAGAGAGGAAACACAAGCAGGGGGGAGTGGGAGAGGGAGAAGCAGGCTCCCCGCCGAGCAGGGAGCCCGATGCGGGACTCGATCCAGGGACTCCAGGATCATGACCTGAGCCCAAGGCAGTCACTTAACCAACTGAGCCACCCAGGCGCCCATCACTTTTGGTTTTAAATTCGATGATACCCAGGACATACATTTATGAAGTACACAAGAACAGATCACACAATCATGGTAAATGTGGAGGAAGGGGTAGTGACATCAGCTTAGTTTCTTTTCGTCCTATTTTACAAGTTCAATCCATACCTTTCCACAGTTGCCGGGCGGGGAGATTAGCCAGCACAAACGTGGCCAGAAACACTTTACCCTTTGGCTCCCTGAAGCAAATGTGGACCTATTTAGTGTGAAAGCTCCTACCACAAATGATTTGAAAACTTCAGTGTTCAACCATCCTGTTTCATAAGTTACTCAATTTTCTAATTGTAATGTCTCCTACTACATCAGTTGCACCCATTTTTTAAAATTCTGTTTGAAGTAAAGGAACAGCTTTTCTCCATCCTCTATGTAACAGTGTCTTTAGTTTTAATAGAACTCTTATAATCAGACATCTATCATGGGGGATAGTTATTTTTAGCAGTATGAGCAAGATGCAGTAAATTGTAGTCTTATAAGATAGCCTGTATCCTGTGTTGTATGAGGTAAATATTTTCAGTTTTTAGATACTTCATAAGTTCTTTTCCTTTTGGGACACTTCCAAATATTCTGTCTTTCTTGATGCTGTTTTTACTGTTTTGGTTGGTGTTTATTTCTTTCTCCGTTTCTGACTGTAACTCTTGAGGATGACCATGATCATCACAGTGTATATGACTAGTGCTAGGCCCAAAAAACAAACCAACAAACTGAGTAAAATTTAATTTGGTGGTCCTTAAATCAGGAGACTTTTTTTTTTTTAAGATTTTTTTTATATTTATTTATTTGACAGAGAAATAGAGGGAGAAAGAGGAAGCACAAGCAGGGGGAACAGGAGAGGAAGAGACCTGATATGGGACTCGATCCCAGGACCCTGAGATCATGACCTGAGCCACAGGCATACGCTTAACCAACTGAGCCACCCAGGCGTCCCAAATAAGGAGACTTTTAAAAAGTTCTATTGAGATATAACTGATGTACATTGAATACACATGAAAGTGTACAGTTTGATAAGTATTGACATGTATAACCTATGAAACCACACAATTAGAGAATGGAGCGTGTCCTTCACACTCAAAAGTTTCCCCATGTCCCTTTATAATCTCTCTCTCCTCACCCCCTCTCCTTGTCTCTAATTACCAATCTGCTTGCTATTACTATTACTATTTCTAGAATTATGTATAATGGAATCACACATTTTGTACTCTTACTGTTTTTTGGTTTGACCTTTTTCAGAACATAACACATGGTCTAGCACATATGTCTACACTATATTTTGAAAGTGAATGGAATAAAAGTTGTTCTTTTTGATTATGATATTCATCCTTATTTTTACTTGAATCAGTAATTCATTCCTTTTTATTGCTGAGTACTATTCCATTGTATTTGCTATATCACAGTTTGTTTATTCATTTACCTACTGAGGGACATACGGGCTTCCAGTTTGGGGACTATTACAAATAAAGCTGCCTTGAGCATTAGTGTACAAGTCTTTGTATATAAGACTAAATGAACAAACTGCCAGGCTAAACCTTCTTTTGGTGGTTCTGAAATCCATCAAAATTTTAGTGAAGATTTTTTTTTTTAAGTTTTTATTTGAATTCCAGTTAGTTAACATACAGTGCAAGATTAGTTTCAGGTGTACAATATAGTGATTCAACACTTCATACAACACCCTTTGCTCATCACAAGTGCCCTCCTTCATCCCCATCACCTATTTCACCCATCCCCCCACCACCTCCTTTCTGGTCACCATCAGTTTGTTCTCTAGAGTCTGTTTCTTGATTTGCCTCTCTCTCTTTTTTTCCCCTTAGTTCGTTTGTTTTTTTTCTTAAACTCCACATATGAGTGAAATCATATAGTATTTGTCTTTCTCTGACTTATTTCGTTTAACATAATACTCTCTAGTTCCATCCATGTTGTTGCAAATGGCAGGATTTCTTTCTTTTTTGTGGCTAACATTCCATTCCAATCTTCCTCTTGAAGATTTTTGGCCCTTGTTTATTCATTACTCTTTGATTCTCTTGTGATGTGTTTGATTTTTTTTTTTTATTATTATGGCTATATTGGCCTTATAAAATAAGTTTGGAGGTGTTTCCCTTCCCTTTTCTGAAAGTTTTTGCATATTTGGAATTATTTCTTTTTTATATATAGTATTTACCAGCAAAGCTTTCTTGGCCTGTAATTTTCTTTGTGGCCTGTAGTTTCTTTATGAATTCGATTTCTTTAGTTGATACGGAGCTATTTAAGTCTTCTACTTAGGGATTTTATTGTCTCCTTGAAGTTTATCACACGTATTGAACATGTAGTTGTTCCATAATTTTTCTTACTATTGTCCCTTATAAATCTGAACAACAGAGAGAAAATAGACTAAACCAAGCAAAAGAAAAAGAAAAGAAAAAAGTCTGAAAAAATGAGTAACACTTTAAGGACCTGGGAGACTGTATACCCAAAGATCTGACATTTGTATCATTGGAGTCCCCAAAAGAGAGGAGAAAGAGGACAGGGCTAAAAACGTACTCCAAGAAATAATAGCTGCATCCTTTTCAAATTTGGCAAAAAGTCTGAACTTACAGATTAAGAAAGTGAGTGAACCCCAAATGGGATAAACCCAAAATAATCCACAATAAAACACATCGTAGTCAAACTTCTGAAAGCTAAAGACAAAGTCTTAAAAGCACCAAGAGAGAAGCCTTACCTCTATGGGAAACAAAAACAAAAACAACTATTTGAATGATAACCAGTTTCTCATCAGAAACCATAAAAACCATATGGAAGTAGCACATTTTTCAATTGCTGAAAGAAAAGACCAGCCAACCCATAATCTAATTCTAGCATAAATATCAGCAGTAAAGGAAAAATTGAAACATTTTCAGATGAAGGAAAACTTGGAGAACTTGTTGCCAGCAGACTTGTTCTAACAGAATGGCTAAAATTTCTCAAAATAGAAAACAATAAAAGGAGGAATTTTGGAACATCAGGAAGGAAGAAAAACAAGTTAAACATATACGTAAATGCAGTAGACTTTTCCTTTTCTTCTTGAGTTTTTAAAATTATGTTTAAAAGCAAATAAAATTTTAATAATGTCTGAGATGGTTCTAAAATATGTAGAGGAAATATTTAAGACAATTATATTAAAAAATAAGCATAAAGGACTAGAATGGGAGGTATGATTTGTAGATTTATAATCAAGCTGGTAAAAATTATGACCGTAGACTCTGTTGTTGAATATATATAATACAAATATAGTACCTGGAGCAACCACTGAAAAAAGCTCTTCAAAAAGATATACTCAAAAGTACTATATATAGACAAATCATAATGGAATTCTAAGAAAATGTTCAAGTAACCCACATGAAGCCGGAAAAAGAAGATAGATACAAAGACAAAACGGGGGCGCCTGGGTGGCTCTGTCACTAAGCGTCTGTCTTTGGCTCAGGTCATGATCCCAGGGTCCTGGGATCGAGCCCCGCATCGGGCTCCCTGCTCGGGGGGAAGCCTGCTTCTCTCTCTCCCGCTCCCCCTGCTTGTGTTCCCTCTCTTGCTGTGTCTCTGTCAAATAAATAAATAAAATCTTTAAAAAAAAAAAAAAGCATTTAATCTTAAAAAAAGAAAATGGTTAGCTATATGTGTTTTAATTGTTCTTGTTCCTGTTTCCTCTCTTTTTCTTTTGGGATTAGCCTAGTAATTTTTAGTGTTCATTTTTTTAATCGCTTCTGCTAGTTTTTAAGCCATTACTCTTCTTTTTCCAGTGGTATTGTGCATTATAATATATATCTTTAGCTTATCGTAGTCCACTACTATTTATTCTTAAGATGACCTTAAAAATGCTAAAATTGTGAGGTTTTATTTCCAGAATGATGACTAAATAAGTCAGTGACAAATATCTTTGCATCCTTTTCTCTTCCACGCTGACTCACCTTTTTAAAAAACCAGATCACCTCTGTAAATATCCAGCACTTGCATTGTTTTTTTAAGTCTTTTCAGGCTTAAAACTCTGTGACTTTCCACAAAACTCTCTTGTTTATCAAAGTAAAGTTGAAAGGACCATAATATATGGAGACTTCATGTTAGGATTTGAATATAATACTGTGACTTCTTAATTTGTGGAAACCTCGCACTTCCATTCATATGCCTGGATATGAGCTCAACGCTTGTCTCTGGAAGCAACATTACCCTGTCCACTTTGTTGAGTTATCAGTTCGTTTTGTACCTATGCTGGTAATTTTTTTTAAACAATCTTTTCTTTAAAGATTATTTTGGCTTTCTTCAAACAGGATGAATTAAACCTTGCTGATTCTGAAGTGGATAACCAAAAACGAGGGAAGCGGCATTACGAGGAAAAGCAGAAAGAACACTTGGATACTTTAAATAAAAAGAAACGAGAACTCAATATGAAAGAAAAAGAACTAGAGGTTATCCAACATTTCTCTTTTATGTTTTGTTTACCGCCTTAGTCAGGGCTGTTAAAGTGTTTTCCTTAACCTCACCCTTCCAAATACAGACACATGGTCTGGGGACGGTCCGTCTCGTGTAGAGGGACTGCTGTTTCAGTGAATCCGCGAGGCCACCCACCACGGAGAAGGCTGTAGCTCAGACAGCAGGTCTAATCTCATGCCCCTGCGAGATCTAGAAAGTGACACTCTCAGCCACTTAGCTCCTTAAATGCCCAGCTTGGCAAGTGGATAGCAGCTTTATGTCAGGAAAAGGCACCCCTTCCTCCGAGTAGCCTGGGTAAAATAAGTACTATGTGTAAAGGTGCTTTGAGTTTTTTAATATTTTATGAATATGAGGGTCTTTTTGTTTGTGTTTTCAGTACTATTTGGTGTTCAGAGGCCATCCCTAAAACACAGAAAGCTGACTGAAAAGTGCCACACTTTTCATAACTGCTACTTGAAATTTGTTTCACTAGGAAGATAAGGAGAGCTTACAAATTATTGAAGTTGTGCATAGTAATGCAATTTTCTCTTGATGATTTATAGAGTCTAGACTCTCTTCTCAATATAAAGCTTAAAGAAATAACATTGATCATAAAAATAATTAAAAAACATCTAAAATTCTGATCCTAAGTTCAGAATTTTACTTTGCATTTGTCGGCATAAGTAGTACAATGAATTACTATGTCAAAGACGAGTTTTAAAGCTACTAAACATCTATAACCTTAGGAGAAAATGTCACAAGCAAGACAAATCTGCCCAGAACGGATAGAAGTAAAAAAATCTGCATCAATTCTGGACAAAGAAATTAATAGATTAAGACAAAAGATACAAGCAGAACATGCTAGTCATGGAGATCGAGAGGAAATAATGAGGTAAGTGGTTGGTAGCTTTTCTACTTTATTATTCATATATATTACAAAGACATAAAAAATAAATGTTTATATATAAATCATAAATTTGGTTTGAGTATTGCTATGGCATATAGTTACAGCCAAGCTCATTTTCCATATGTGTGTTCTTAATAATAAATAATAATGGGGGGCACCTGGGTGGCCCAGTCAGTTAAGTGTCCAACTTACGATTTCAGTTCAGGTCATGATCTCATGAATTATGGGATCGAGCCCCACATGGGACTCTGTGCTCAGTGGGGAGTCAGCTTGGGATTCTTTCTCTCCCTCTCCCTCCGCCCCTCCCCCCACTCACACACATTCTCTCTCTCTCAAATAAAATAAATCTTTAAGAAAAATAATTAACGTTTTTTCTTCTGAATCATAACAAAACTCATGGAGTGATATTTTAACATAAATGCCATTTTTATACCTATAAGATTCATAAAGAAAAAATGTTCAGCTTCACAAGCAATTAAAAGAAATGCAAATCAGAACCATTAGAAGCCATTTGCATGTATGTCAAGCTGAAAAAAAATGTCAGTCTCATGTCAGTGAGATTTCAGTGAAATGGCTATTTTTATATTAGTGGTAAGAACGGAAGCTCTAGCATAGTGAAAGCACAGTTTCTCAAGCAAGACAACCTTGGTTTGAATTGCGGTTTTACTTCCAGTTATGGGACTTTTGCCAGTGACCTAATCTCTCTGAACCTGAATTTTTTCATCTGTAAGATAGGGATACCTGTAGTTGTAGGGTGCTTATGCGGATTAAATGAGTCAGTCCATAACAAACAGGATGTAGGATACATAAAATGTTAGATGTGATTATTATTAAAGTTTTTCTGAAAAGCGTTAAGGCAGTTTATGTCAAACGCCTTCAAAAATTTCAATTTGGCCAAGAAATTTCGTTATTATAATCCAAAATGAGAAAAGCACTCTGTGCCCAGGTATGTTTATTGTAGCATTACTTATAAAGCTGGAAAATTAGAAATTGTGTACAGCTATAGGATGCTGGTTGAATTATAGTAAAAAATTACATCTGTTATACTTTATGAGGAGCTTTTCATAATACAAAGTTCAGGAACAGGAATGATCTCAATTCTGTTTTCAAAAACGGTGGAAAACAATGGGAAGAAACACAAACAAAGTAAGAGTAGTTTTTCTTTAAAATAGATAATACCCCACATGTTTTGTTTTGTTTTTAAAGTATAATCTCCACAAACCATAAGAGACTATTAATCATAGGAAACAAACTGAGGGTTGCTGGAGGGGAGGGGGAGGGGGGTGGGGTAACTGGGGGATAGGCATTAAGGAGGGCAGGTAATGTGATGAGCACTGGGTGTTACATAAGACTGATGAGTCATTGACCTCTACTTCTGAAACTAATAATACACCATATGTTAATTGAATTTAAATAGAAGAAAAATTTGTTTAAAAGGTAAACACAAACACACAAAAATAAAGTATAATCTCCAGTTTATTTTTTTCCAGAGACCAGTTTTTCTTCAGTCCTTAGGTACTTGGCTCCTTCCACCGGCCTTACTGGAGGTCAAGGGGCAGCGCCCGCGGGCCCACATCGGGGCGGGGGTGTTGGGTCCTGTGGTACCTCCTGAGAGCAGTGCCCGGCTGCCCTGCTGCGAATAGCATGGCTTGCACAGCCCTGTAGGCTCGCACACAGCCGTCGAAGACACTCGCTTTGGCAATGTCCCTGACCCGGCGGCCTCTACCCTGTCCCGAATGAATAACCTACTTCTTAATGGCCTTGTCCCAGGTTGTGCAATGGGCGCAGCTGGTGCAGCGGAGGGGCTCTTTGTGGCACGTCCAGGATTATTCCTTCTTTTCTTGGTCATCTTGGAAGTGAGGACCCGAGAGGGCCTTACCTCCCATGTTTTCAATTCAGTGTAAAGGGGCACCCCATGAAAGGTGTCTACTTCTCTCCAGTCTCATCTCTACCACTTTTCTCTCTTTTTATCTAATTAAATTAGATAATTAGATAATTAGCTTTCATTGTTTATGTAAATGCAAGGTAATGTGAGCATGTTATTCTTATTTTTGCCAGATACAAGAGAGAACACAGTAAGTAAACTGTTGTACAGATTGCTTTCTTTGGTTTAATGATATATTGTAGAGATCTTTTTATATCAATATACAGGCATTTTCTCATTGCTTTTTATAATTATATGGTATTGAATCATCTACTAATGGATAGTTGAATTCTAATCTAATCCCTTACTGTTATAAATGGTGGTCAGAGTAAATAGTTTTGTACATATGTCTTATTGTATAGTCGGGGTGTTTTAATAGGATTGACTCCATTTTGGAAGACTCCCTTCTAGGGACTGTGCTTGTTCACACTCCCGAGGACAGTGTGTCTGAGGGCTTGTTCCCCTCAGCCTAAACAGTGTGATAACCTTAGTTTTTTTCTTTTTTTTGCCAATGGGTAGATTTCCTTAAAAAAAGAAAAGAATATAGCTCAATGTAATTTTAGTTTCCATTCCACTTATACTGAGTCTGAACATCTTTTCATGCCTTAAGACCATTCATTTATCTTTTCCTGTGAACTTTTTATGTACGTCTTCATTTTTCTGTATTTTTGGTGTGAAGAGAGTATTTTATCTTTGTCCAAAGGGCTACGTAGCCTTTTGAGATTTTGTCTTATAATTAATTGCGTCCTTAAGAATGGCCATGTGAAGTAATGTGGTTTGTTTTTGCATGTTCAGAACTGTTAGTCTGTAGCTTTTGAATTTGAAGGGGTAGCTCCAGCTGATAGAACATTCTTTTTCCCTTGACCATCTGTTTTATGATGAGTGCTGTAATGTGTCCAGAATGTCAGATTCCGTGATCTTTCTTCCTTGGTGTACACTGTGTTTTTTTAATCTGTAGCTTTATCTTATTTCTTAAAATTTCTTGTTTGTGTTTTACTTTTACATATTCGCTGTGCTGTTTAGTTGGTTTTGTGTAGGCCTTCGTTGCACACGTGTAGTATGTCCTTTGTCTTCTAGTTACTTTGTCTACCGTGTTCTCTTTCTCCCCATGTTTTTGCTTTTCTCATTTCTGATCTCTCTGTCAGTGTTTTCTGCGTTGTCTCTCTTCCCTTGTGCATCATCGCCTCACTCCGTCTTCATATCTTTGTTCTTTTTGGTCCAACCCCCCTCCCCGCCCCCGCTTGGGTTCTGCAGGTTCCTACTCGCCGCCTCCTCTTACCTGGTTATCACCTTCTGTTGTTTACCTATCTGTTCTCTGAGTTCTTTGATTTATCTATTCTTTCAGTTCTTTTATTTCTGTTTTGAGGCGTCTCTTCCTGGTAGCACCATGTCATGTTCTGTCTTAATTCATGGTTTTTCAATTACAGTTTTCATCGGGTTTGTAACCACGTTGTTCTGATGAGTTTTCTTTGTCTCTAGGGGGTGCCGTGCTGCTCTTTCCCAAGCCTATTTCCATTAATATCTGTATGTGGAGACTACTTGTACCTTTTGTGTTGTTCATTTTTTATGTGGATTTTCCTGGACTGGGCATTTGAATAAGCTTGGGGTGGGGAGCTGTGGAGCCTTGGCCAAGCTTGCCTTTCAGACTCGGTCAAGAACCTTCTCTCCTCTGTTCTACCAGTGAGCTGTTGCCCTCTGTAATAACACTTCTGCGGGACCCGGCCTTCTCTGCCTCTTTGACCTTGTCTTGTTCAGGCTGGGGTTGGCAGATCCTAATGCTCACCCTGTGTTCCTCTGTTCTTGCACTGGCCTCTGTCACTAAGGGAAGCATTTCTTGCCTTCCAATGTGATCCCTTCACTTGTAGAAGGTGTATATTTGCTGGCATTTCTAAGATCTTCTCCCCCCCCCCCCCCCCCCCCCGCCCCTGGGCACTTTCCTCATGTACTTCCTCTGCCTTCTCCAGGACCTGGACTTTTCTCCTGCCCAGCCCTGCGTACAGCTCTTCCCCTTTGGGGCAGCACGTGCTCATTCTGGGAGTATAGTTTGCCTAGAAACAGGACACCTGCTATTTCTGGGCCCCTTGGCACTCCCTGCATTCTCCCTTCTTCCCCAAAAAATATATTTGAGATTTTACTTTTCTTTATGTTTCTTTGAATGACACTTGCTAACTTAATATTTTGTTCATAAAACAGGCAGTATCAAGAAGCAAGAGAAACCTATCTTGATCTGGATAATAAAGTAAGGACTTTAAAAAGGTTTATTAAATTGCTGGAAGAAATAATGACTCACCGATACAAAACATATCAACAATTTAGAAGGTAAGTGCATTTAAAAATATTACCACGTATCTCACATTTTCATATTTTGTTTTCGCATTATCCCTTATAAATAAGAATATTAAATTGAAAGAACTTCACATGATTCAGTTAAAGAAGAACTGCTTTCCTTAATTGGGCGGTATTTAGGGTCCTGTCATTTAATCAGAGAATCCTGGATTGGAAGGGAGTTTTAAAGCAAGCTTATCCAGTTTTTCTGCTCCATCAGATACCCTTTACTAGGTAGCTCGGAGATGGCTGTTCCGTCTCCACTTACACAGGTCCTTTCAGTGGGAGCTCACTGGCTTTGAAAGAGCCTCTTGCGCTCTTGGACATTGCATGCTCGTAAGGGATAAAAGGTTTTGACGGGACCTGTGGAGGTAGTATCTCAGTTTATGATCTAATGGAACGGTGTGGCTCCGTGGGTGTAGACTCTGATTTGTTTACTGCTGTGTCTCCAGTACCTGAAACGTAGTAGAAAGTTGATACATATTGGTTGAAAGAATGAACACAAGATCAGAGACACTGGGTATTATATGTGCCCAGAAATATTCATATTCTCAGGGATAGATTGACCCCAGTGAAAATCACAAACAACAGAAATAAACCAGAGGTCAGTTGATAGGTAGGGATAGCCCTTGACCTACTTGGAGCCAGAGCTGTCCTAGTCTTTGCACTTAACCCCTGTTTTCCCCACTGGCATTCCCTCAATGACCTGCTTTTGACCTGTATTCATACCCGAAACTCTATAATCCTAAGACTAGAGAATTAAAAAAAATATATCTAGTATTTATGAGGAAATTCAGTTAATTCCATAAAGAAAAGTAGGCTTTGCATGTTTGGTCATATTCCTTAACTAAACCGTAGGTTAGTTTTTGAAATGTGTGCTTCAGTTTTGTAAGCATGTTAATAGGACTTCACTTATGTGGGATTTATTTTTATCCTTTTGAGGCTACTTGTACGTTTCATCAAGTGGGACCTGAGCAGCTGGTCCAGGATCAGCAATGCCCTCGGGGTACTCCACTGATACCTTGTGAGTTAGAAGGCTTCTGCCTGTGGGAACTGGGACCGTTCCTGGCTCCAGGTGCCCTGCGGGGATTGCTTCTGCGGTTTGGGGATGTTTGTTGCTGCAGCTTCACACAGGCAGAGAGAGTTCTCAGCTTGAGACTTGCGGCGCCCTCTGCCTGTGCTCTGGAGTCCCCCCTGTGCTGCACTCTAGGCTTTGAGACCTGGAGCAGCGTGGCCTCCCCAGATGCCCAGCTCTGTCTTCTGTAACAGGGAGACCTTCAGGCTGGGTTTCCACTCCCCTTTACTCTTTCTGTAAATAGTGATGTGTGACATCTGTTAGGCTCAATTCATTTGTTTCCCGTATTTTAAGGGATCATTTTGACTGGAATTGCCTGTACTGTCCGATGCCCAGTCTGAAAACTTGTTTCATTTATTCCGTGCAGTGTTTTGGGTGTGTCAGGCTAAGACTATATCCAATGCCGGGGCGCCTGGGTGGCTCAGGCGTTAAGTGTCTGCCTTCGGCTCAGGTCACAATACCAGGGTCCTGGGATCGAGCCCCGCATCGGGCTCCCTGCTCGGCGGGAAGCCTGCTTCTCCCTCTCCCACTCCCCCTGCTTGTGTTCCCTCTCTCACTGTGTCTCTCTCTGTCAAATAAATAAATAAAATCTTAAAAAAAAAAAAAAAACTATATCCAATGCCTATGTCTACATCTTTTTCAGAAGCAGTAGGATTTGTGTTTATATTCTTACCAGGAAATTTATATTCAAAATATTTTCTGTAAAGGTACTCATCTTACAGTTTATTACCTTGATATGTTTCTTCGCCACTGACATATTTTGTCTTTTTTACCCAGTCTTAGGAGTAGAATAAGAATGATCAAATTTTTTAAATTGTTTATCTCTTTACACTGGAGAACCTTGCCATTTTATGAGGACAGTCTCTCTTAAGACATCCCGTGTATGGAAGCAATTGAAGAATACTTACCAATAGTGAAAGAAAGAAAAGTTAACAGAAAATTCTGAAAACCGGCTAGCTGTGGTTGCTGTGTCACAAAAGAAAGCTCAAGCTCTCAGTGTTTCCTGGGGCGGAGATTTAACGTATTTTAGCAAGGGAATTAGGAGGGATAATAATAAATGATAGTTACTCTGAAGAAATGAACCATAGGCCCATTAAGAAGCAAAGATGTTAAGAAAAAAGTCTTCTCTCATCTAGATCTTATTTTCCAAATACCATTACCCCTCTTGGAGAAATGGCTGGATTCCAGAGCTGGGCAGAGAAGGTACAGCTGGGCCTCTTGCTATGCCAGGAAGTAAGGAAGTGCTCGGAAGAAACGGGGAGTCATGATAAAAGGACGTAAGAGGCAGCCTGAAGAGGCTCCCACTGGCCAAACCTGGGCCTGTGTGAGGCAGGAATGGATGGTAACCCCGTGAATAAAATAAGAATCTGTGACTCCATCCTGATCAATAGAAAAGTGAATAAATAAATAAATAAATAACTGAGGAAGAAGGGAAAGGTCCTCCTTACAGTGGAATGCCATGTGATAGATGGAGTTTGCATTGTGCCAGGCTGTGGGTAAGGCATTATCGGTATAGAACGATTAAGAGATTGCCCTCACCCTTAATGTCTCTATAAATTGAGAGGAGATATGCAAATGAATAGGCCATTTATTTATTATCTTAACAGACTACTAGAGTTTAATCTCAAGGACAAGATTTATGTCTTCCATATTAGGGTGATGCCTCATATAAATTGCTTGAATTGATTGATATATTCATATGGACGGGTTGTAATGTAATAGAATATATTAAATGTGGGATAGCATCATTTTTCATTCTATGATGTTTGTTTATTATAAAAGGAAATGAGGTGGTAAAAATGTGGGGACACAAAATATAAAGATGGGGGGAAAAATCTTAAAATCCTACCTATTAAATGGGCAACCCGTGTTAACATTTTGGCATATTTCTCTCTGGTCTTACATGCTGGTTTAAAGATCATGCTGAATATACAGTTTTTATATTTTTATATCCTTTTTAATGTGCCCCATTTCTTTATTCCAAGGTGTTTGACTTTACGATGCAAATTGTACTTTGACAACCTATTGTCTCAGCGGGCTTATTGTGGAAAGATGAATTTTGACCACAAGAATGAAACTCTGAGCATATCAGTAAGTGTCTTAACTCTTCGTATGCTAATTATTAGGAGAATTAGCTGCTGCATTTCTTTTGATAATACATTGATAAGCTTTAATCTGTTGTCTTTGAAAAGCAAAAGAACTTACTTTTAAGTTAAGGCTAGTATTTGCCAGAGTGTTGAAAATTAAATAGATCTCATTGGCTAACGCTGCCATTGTACCCCCCCCCCCAACAACCACCAAGAAGATGACCAGGAATTTTATTTTCAGTGACAAAGGTTTACCCTCTTTCCACTCCACAGCTTTCTTTTTAAAATTCATCTAGCATTTTAATTTATGTGGGATATTAGAGAAAGTCCATAGACTCTGGAAGTCACTATAGGAAACCAAGAAAGGATTTCTCAGAAGAATGTTCTATCCCTTGTAATTGTCTTTGCATGTATTTCTGAAGGTATCTGTAGATACAGCCTCTTTTGAAAAAACAAAGCCACCATATTTAACTTGTAGAGTCTGTGTTTGTGGATTCTTTCATGGTCGTATGCATTGAAAGAGGGAGTAAGGGAGATAGCATTAAAAATTACGTGTTCAGGGGCACCTGGGTGGCTCAGTCGTTTAGCGTCCGCCTTCGACTCAGGTCATGATCCCAGGGTCCTGGGATCGAGTCCCAGATCAGGCTCCCTGCTCGGTGGGAAGCCTGCTTCTCCCTCTCCCACTCCCCCTGCTTGTGTTCCTGCTCTCGCTGTCTCTGTCTTTGTCAAATAAATAAATAAAATCTTTAAAAAAAAAAAATTATGTGTTCAGGTGGTCAAGAGCAACCACCCACTCTAAACAATTGGGGCAAAATTTTTATTTTGTTTTTTATTTTTTTATTTTTTTAAGATTTTATTTATTTATTTGACAGAGAGAGACACACAGTGAGAGAGGGAACACAAGCAGGGGGAGTAGGAGAGGGAGAAGCAGGCTTCCCACCGAGCAGGGAGCCGGATGCAGGGCAGGGCTCCATCCCAGGACCCTGGGATCATGACCTGAGCCGAAAGCAGACTTTTAACGACTGAGCCACCCAGGCGCCCCTGGGGCAAAACTTTTAAGTAATTGCTTACTGCTCTTAGTTGTCATAAGTTTTATACTTCATTTTAATACTTAGAATAAATGATAATTTACAGTACATATACACAAGACTCATCTAAATTTTTTAAGAAATAATAAAGAATGACGATGCATTTAAAAATGGTCAAAATGCTTAAAGAGGAACTTCATAAAGTATCCAAGTGGTGAATAAGTACCTGAAAAAAGTGCTCAGTATCATTATTCATCAGAAATATACGAATTTGGGGGCGCCTGGGTGGCTCAGTCGGTTAAGCGTCTGCCTTCGGCTCAGGTCATGATCCCAGGGTCCTGGGATCGAGCCCCACATCGGGCTACCTGCTCAGCAGGATGCCTGCTTCTCCCTCTCCCACTCCCCCTGCTTGTGTTCCCTCTCTCGCTGTGTCTCTCTCTGTCAAATAAATAAATAAAATCTTAAAAAAATAATAAAATAAATAAAATTCAAAAAAGAAAAAAGAAAAATACGAATTTGAGGTGCCTGGGTGGCTCAGTCAGTTAAGCGTCTGACTCTTGATTTCAGCTCAGGTCATGATCTCAGGGTTGTGAGATCGAGCCCCATGTCCAGCTCCACGCTCTGCATGGATAGTCTGCTAGGATTCTCTCTCTCCCTTTCCCTCAGCCTCTCCCCTCTCTCCCTCTCTTAAAAAACAAAAAGAAAGAAAAAGAAAAATAAGAATATATACCATAATAGATGACTATCATACTGCTACCAGTGTGACCAAAATGAGCAACACCGATAACGTCTCGTGTTGGTGAGGGTGTGGAACTAATTTGGAAACCTGTCTGGCAGTGTTCATGAAAGCAATCCCACTCTTAAAAACTCTTCAAAAAACTGATAAAAATTCACCCGATTAAATGGTGATGATTAAAGTCAGAATAGTTGTTACCGTTTGGGTTTTGTAGTGACGGGGAGAGAACACAGAATCTGCTGAGATGCTAGGAATGTTCTGTGTCTTGATCTGAGTAATTACCCAGGTAATTGAGCTGAACACTTAAGCTTTATCTTCCTTACTGTATATGAATTATACTCTAATGAAAATGAAAAAAAGAAGAAAATATTAGGAGTGTTTGGATAATTTATCCCCAGAGCTAACTGTACAGGACAACCGAAGCTAGCCCTTCTGACATTATCACCCCTGTTATTCAAAAAGAATATTACTGTTTTAAGGATCCTTTAGTTCTCTAGTCTTTGTTTTACAAATAAATAAACTGAGACCAAAGTCCCATGATAATTTAATAATAGGGGTGAAATTTAGATCTCCACAATTAGTCTAGGGCTTCATTTATTAGATCGATACAAAATGCAATTTTGGAGCAAAGGACCGCATCCTGTTACTTAGTTCTTGCTTTTTTGTGGAGTAGTTTTTTGGTTGGTTGGCTTGGTTTGGCTTTTTACTACTTAGTTGCTTTTTCATTTGGATTCTCACAGATTCAGACTTATGGATGATAAAAATTTCAGTGTATGTTTAAATTCAGAATTTTTTATAACCCTTTCCTAAATGAATGCTACTTGAGAGGCACATAATTTTCAAATAGTGGGTGTGAAAAATAAGTGAAGTTATGTGTCTGCTAAAACACATGTGGTAAAACTTTATGGTAGACAAGCTGATGGTACCCCATTTTTCCACCTTATGGGTATATATGTATGTCTGAAATTCTGTCCAAATGAAATAGAATTCCTTCTAATGTTATCTTATACTGTCTCCCCAGGATATTGTGTGAAAGAGTTTGTTATTAATTTTATTAATTTCTTTTTTATTGTCCCTCTGAGCCCTTATTAAGAGGAATTTTTGAAAGAGATTTTACACGTTTCAGTTTGTTGCTGCTGTTCATCCTGGACCAGCGTGAGCCTCTTGAAGTTGGTCCTGTTGTCTTTTTGACGTTCAGTAATTACCTTTAAAGCAACTTAACCACTAGATGTCACTGTAATTCAAGTAACAAAAGATTGTCTTAGCGCTTGGCAGTGCTTGAAAAAAGAAAAAGCAAGCAATCTCATTCACAGTAGCATCGAAAATAATAAAGTACTTAGGAATAAATTTAACCAAGGAGGTGAAGGATCAGTACACTGAAAACTATAAGACATTGATGAAGGAAATTGAAGAAGACACAAATAAATGGGAAGATAGCCCACATTCATGGATCAGAGTTAATATTGTTAAATAGATGTCATTTCCATATCACTAAATCACTAAATGATTTTATTCTTTTTTTTTTTTTTTTTTTTTTTACTGTAAACCCATTCTTTTCTAATGCTAGCCAGCCTTTTCGTAAAGAATTTAGTCTGATTTTTGCTCCACTTTGTTTTTTAACTCACTCAAGGTTCAGCCTGGAGAGGGAAACAGAGCTGCTTTCAACGACATGAGAGCCTTATCCGGAGGAGAACGTTCTTTTTCCACAGTTTGCTTCATTCTTTCTCTATGGTCCATTGCTGAGTCTCCTTTCAGATGCCTGGATGAGTTTGATGTCTACATGGTAGTGTTAAATTTTGAATTCTCAAATTTTTGTTGCTGTTGGAAATGTGTATTTTGAAAGGAAGCAATTCTTTCTTTAGTTTTACCCCCAAGAGAAGGGATCCTGCCCTGACACTTCAGTCCATGAGAGGTGGTAGGGAAGAACTAAGAGTTCTGGTGCCCTCCCTGCTACCCTGGGGACCCCGTCCTGGGCTTCCGCCTCTTCCCTAGCCTGTCTCCACCTTGCATTTTCACAACGGGAAGCATTTCCTTAGCCTCGCTTGGATCAGAAGAGCAGCAGATGCCACACAAGGGGCAGGAACATTTGACTTGGAAATCATAACCTGGGATTGAGACCTAACCTCTGCCACTACTTCCGCAGAGAACTTTGGGCCTCGGTTTCTTCATGCATAAAATAGCCTCATTAGTCTTTCCTACCTCCTAGGGTTATGGTGAGATGCTCCAGTCTTACATGTAAATGCACTGAAGATGGTGGAGACCGAGTGAGCCTTCACCAGCCAGCCGTTAACCATGCTGTGTACTTCTTCACGCCTTATACTTTCTTAAACCCACTGTAATCTGGGTTTAGACTAGAATACTCTAGTAAAACTTGTTTAGCAAAGATCATCGATGAACTTTTAGTATTATTTTAATTCTTTGAAGTATTTGGTACCAGAGACCTATCCTCCGTCTCCTATAATATGTCTTCTTGCCAGTTTCTGCTCTCCTCTTTTCTGGTTCTAGTGCTGCCTCGCCTAATGCCATTGCCCTTAAATGTGTGAGGCCCTCTTTGTTTTTTATACTGTTGTTGATTTTCCTGGATGCCATACCCTACGTACACCTACACACTAAACACACACACCACATACACACACACACACACACAGAGTCCCCAACACTACCACCTGCATGTGGATCCCAGCACATCTGAGTGTCTCACCCTGACACCTCTCTTGCACTCCAGACTCATATGCCCAACCACTGTTAGACGTCATCAGGCACAGCCAGGCCTCAAACTCAGCAAGTCTTCCACTCAGAGCCTCTTCCTTTTCCTGAATCTGCTACTTTGATTGCTGGCACATTGCTGTTACCTACCCTGTTACCTCGCACTGCCAGACCTTTGATGTATCTGTGATCCTTCCTCCCTTTTTACTTGCCCATCACGCCTGACCTTCCGAGTCTCTGTTCCTTCCTGTTAGCTTGTCTCTGTCTCCTCCCCTGCCTGTTGGAACCGCCTCCTGTCCAGACTCCCAGACTTTAGTCTTCCTTATTCCTTAGTCCCTCCCTCACTGTTTTGCCAGGTTTATATTTCTAAAATGAATCTTGGGTGCCTGGGTGGCTCAGTCGGTTAAGCGTCTGCCTTCGGCTCAGGTCATGATCTCAGGGTCCTGGGATCGAGTCCCACGTCGGGCTCCTTGCTCCGCGGGAAGCCTGCTTCTCCCTCTCCCACTCCCCCTGCTTGTGTTCCCTCTCTCGCTGTGTCTCTCTCTGTCAAATAAATAAATAAATAATCTTAAAAAATAAATAAATAAATAAAATAAAATAAAATAAAATGAATCTGATCATGGGCACTTACTTGTTTAGAACTCTGAGGTGGTGAATTATCTTATCTGGGATGAAAGTTTAATTCTTTGGGTAGCTGACACCCTTTGTGATGTAGCATCTCCCCCTTCTGTGGCTATCCCTTGCAAGCTACTTGTGATTTTCCAAACACTGTGCCTCTTCTTGTTGTGCCCTTCTTTGTGTATGTCAGAATCCTACTCATCTTTCCAGACCTCGTTCGGATGTGACCTTTACAGAGCCTTTGTGACCACCAGGCAGGATTTAGGAACCTCTCAGAGCTCCCTTGGCACCATCCTACACCAGCTTATACTAGTATTTTTATATGTTATAATATCAAATATATTATGTAATTTTATATTACATACATTGTACTATTACGTATTCTATACATTTTCGTTGTGAAGTTACCAACTATGTCTTGATATTTTTACCTACCTGATGCCTAGCCCATAATAACTACTACAAAGTGCTCGTTCATGCAGTTTATACCTGTGAGTCCTGTATAATCCTCAGTGTCATTTTTCCCCTTGATACCATTGCTGTGATTGGTTAGAAATTCTCTGAGAATTGGCTTCAGAGCTAATTCACAAATCGCAGGAGAGGATTGTTCTTACCAGGCACTCATTTTGTTTGAAATGCCATTTTGCAGTCTTATCACCCATCTTATTTGTCAGATTTAATTCTGAATAACTTCTTTCTCTTTCAGAAACTTAGAGGTTCTTAATCAGAATGGCATTTTGCCCCATTGGAATTATTCAGAAAAATGTGCCCAAGTTCTGAAAACCAATCAGAAACAAATATATTTTGGTGGTTTGGCAGCTTTGTTATTAAATGATAGGCCTCCCCAGGGCAGTGTTTTGAAAGGACAGCATCTGCTTGTGCAAGCTCTCGTTATTTTTGTTAACTTTAAGTTAGATTGCTTTACAGATATGCCAGAGGGAAGAATTTATAAAATACAAGCCATTGAGCAATATCACCAGGATGTTGGTCTGCCTCCAAAACAGTGTGTTCTTAACCACCATGCTGTACTGCCACATAAAGTTTCAAATAGACCTTTAAAAATATATGCCTATAAACGCATTTGGTTATGTTTTCCACTTTCCAGTTTTCAAGGTACTTTGATTTTTTCTTTCTCTGTTATTTGAACTCAGAAAACGTAAGCCCACAGTTTAATTTCGTTTCAAAACCTGTTATAATGAAGCATTGTTTTTCTATACACTGATATGCTATTTAACTTCTTTTAAAGATTAAATCGAGGAACTGGTTTCTAAATTTAAATTGGTTCAGGGCGCCTGGGTGGCTCAGTCAGTTAAGCATCTGCCTTCGGCTCAGGTCATGATCCCAGAGTCCTGGGATGGAGCCCTGAGTCGGGCTCCCTGCTTAGCGGGGAGTCTGTTTCTCCCTGTCCCTCTGCCTGCCTCTCCCCCTGCTTGTGCTCTCTCTCTCTCTCTCTCTGTCAAATAAATAAATGAAATCTTAAAAAAAAAAAAAAAAAGAATATAAATAAATTGGTTCACATTGTACGCATTGTAGAAAGTGATAGGGTAGGGGCAGAGGTTTTAAAACATCTTGATCACGGAGGGAAATTTTGAGAGAATTAATACTTTATAGCTGTCACTTTTGATATTGTTCTCCTGAGGGATTAATTATTATTACTGTCCAAATTAGATTCATTCTCTAACATTTAGTTGTGTCTTTGGAATATTTGCAGATTACTTTATTTTTTTAAAGGTTTTATTTATTTATTTGACAGAGAGAGACACAGCGAGAGAGGGAACACAAGCAGGGGGAGTGGGAGAGGGAGGAGCAGGCTCCCGATGCGGGGCTCGATCCCAGGACCCTGGGATCAAGACCTGAGCCAAAGGCAGACGCTTAATGACTGAGCCACCCAGGTGCCCCTGCAGATTACTTTAATTGCTAAGTATATTTGAGGGAGGGAGCTATACTTACAAATAATCTGACTGTAGAAATTACCTGGAAAATACATATATTCAGTTATTTTCCTCTAATAGTTTTGGATATTATCTTTCCCTGTGTGAATAGTTAGGCATCACAGATAAAGTAGTAGGTGATCCCTGGATAAAAATGCAGGGGCTTGTAACAGCCAGCAGAATGCTGCTTTTGCAGGAATATGACTGATGCAATAGTGATCCTCACTTTGTTCTTCAGGACATGGTTAACCGGAGGATTGCAATGGACATGATACTCAAGATGGCAGATTCCCAGCGTTTCAGACAGTTTATCTTGCTTACCCCTCAAAGCATGAGGTAACTTTTAAAAATTCTTCTGTGAATATATACATCAAATATATAAAAGGGGGAAATAAATCTCTTATAATCTTAATTTTTTAAATGCAAATACATAAATCACCAATAAAAAGAAAATGAGTTCCAATGTCAGATCTAAGGTAATTTTTCCTTTTTAGATATTTAAAATTTTGTTTGTGTTATCTCCCTTCCATAACAGAAGCAAGTTGATGTGAATTTGATTATTGACTTGTTACTATTTCTATTTTGACTCTGTTTCTTCGTGGTTATCATGACCAACTAGTAAAGTCATTTTGGTAATTCTGTTTAGACTAAAGACACAATTCATGATTTCCCTAGTCTTGGCTCTTCTCCTGGTGACTTACTGCTTCTAATCTTTCTAAAAGAGCTCTGTTCTGCAGTCAGTCAGCAGCAGGTTTTGGGTACTTACAAGGTGTCAGGCATGTGTCATTTAGTGTTGATATTCTGCCTCTACAGTGGTCACTTGATCTTGTGGGGATGGAAGTATGTGATTGGGAGTATTCAGGTAACTGCTTCTTGGCTGGACAAGAATAAGAATTAGAAATAGTTGGTATATAAATCTCCTCATTTTCTTTTTCTTCTAAACTGAAAGCCTACCTCATTTAGCAGGAAGTTAATTTTTAAAAATGAAAACAAATGATTTCTTTATTGCAAATTATATTTCTCCTAGAACTCCAGATAGTCAGCATATCCCACAGTAGCAGATGCAGTAGACTGGTGTTTTCATGAGGGAGTATTAGAATTTTTTTTAATGTGAAAACATTTTCCTCGTAATCTGAGTAATTAATTTTGCTTCCTCTAGTTCACTTCCATCAAGTAAACTGATTAGAATCCTTCGAATGTCTGACCCTGAAAGAGGACAAACTACATTGCCTTTCCGACCTGTGGGTCAAGAGGAAGAAGAAGACCGAAGTTGATCTGTAACTTCCTATGGCCTCCGCCGTGTCCTCATGTTGAAGGACTTGTAAAGGGAAAAAGATTCAGGAGTATGTAATGAAATAAAATGAAACTGAAGATAATCTAAAATAAAAGAAACTCCTTTATATTTCTGGCCCCAATAAAATATGTAAATAAGTCTAGAAAGCCTACTACAACCGGCAATTTAAAATTTGTTACTTTACTTTGAGGAAATTAATTTCATAGTATTGGTTTTAAATTTTTTTTAAGTTCGTTTTTTTTAACCATCTACTTTTATAGATTGTTTTTCAGAAGTAAAATTTTGTACATATGTACATGTACATATCTGTTTAGTTTGGGTTCATTTCTATGGTATTTTGTAAGAGTTAAAATAAAAGTTTGAGCACCTGATTATATTTAGTTTTGTTTTCCAGAGAATCACATTCTCATTACAGGGGTTGGGGGTGCACAGGTGGTCTGTGGACGGGGACCAGTTTGCAGTGCATTTATTGTCTCTCTTGCTTAATTATGAGGGGCCTGCACAGGACTCCCAAACACTGCTCAGAATTCCTGCACAGGTCATTTTTTATCATCAAAGATACGACGATAGATTTGGGCTGTACTTTTAATTATTGTATTTCACTCAAATTTAGGATGCTGTCCGTGTGGCACTTTGAAGGAGCACCAGAGCACCACCAGCTCTGACCAGTGCCTTTCTCAGTCCTTTAAGTGTCGTGCAGCCTGGGTCACACACTACAGGTACTTGTCTGGCTTCAAACCCCTCTGCTGCTGGGCCAGCGCTTTGGCTCAGCTCCTGCTCAGCTTGGGCTCAGCTGAGAGGACCCAGGCTGGGGAGAAGGGCTGGGAAAAGTGGGGCTCCCCCTGGGGCAGGAAAGCAGCGCAGAGCCAGAGGCCAGCGTGTTGATGGTGAGCTGACGTCCGTGCCATTAAAGACACGTCCTGATTTTAGGGTTGTTTAAGAGTGTGCTTCGTAGAATGATAAAATATAGCATATTGTAAGAAGTGGTAGTTACTGACTTTTTTTTGTTTTTTGAAGAAGGCATGAATAAGACTCCTGCCTATATTCTCTTTGATATTAGGGTAAGTGCTAGGTTTTTAAGACAGACGTGGATACCCAAGAAGCATTCCCTGTATTGCTAGCAATAAATACTTATGTAATTGAAAAGGAAGTATTTTAAGAAAAAAAGCAGTATTTTAGAAGCAGCAACACTTCTGTGGATACTGAGAAAAACTGGATTTTGTTTTTTATTTTAGTAGAGGGGAGGGAGTTTGATTAACCTTAAAGTGAGATCAGTTGGCAAATGAGAAGTCCAGAGTCTGTGCTTTTCTAACCTAAGAATTTACAGAAAGAGGAAATGTATGCCGAAAGTTAATAAACATCCCCCCACACCCATGCAAAGTCTGACCTTTTAAAGGTATGTTTATGACTCGTTTGTAACAAAACTATTTTTTAACATACATGTGCTTTTTCAAATAAAAAATATACCAAATGCATAAACTTATATTAGCTAAATAATTTTAGTGTCTGAATCTTTGTGATAGTTTTTGAATGTTAATGGTTCTGAATACAGAATGGGAAATATAATCCTCAGGTATCCGAATATCTTTTGTTAAGAGTCGAAGATTATTCATCGCTTTAGCCTCACAAAGTTTTGGTTTCAACTATCATAAGTGAAAATATCTTCAATTAATGTTCTAATTAATAGTAACATTAATTAGAATAAAAGAAGAAAAAAGTTTTTTTTTTTTAAATACGTATAACTTCTAAAAATGAAACTTTAAATGAGTGACTTCACTACATCATACAGAGTGTTCCCCAGCCCCTGGTTTATCATCAGGACTGAGCTGAGTAATGAGATCCCAGGAAACAAGGGGCACATGCTCCCTTGGACTCTTCAATCCTATCCTCTCAAATCCATGGGGTGGACATGATTAAGATCATTCTCAAAATGACAAAGGTAATGAGTTGTAGTAAACCAAGATATAAATAATAGACTCAAGTTGGTAATCAAGATTCAGGCACTGCCTTCTTCTTCCTTAAGTATTTTCGCTTCTCCATCCCATCCTCAAGGGCTGCTTCCCTCCTAACCCTTCACCTTCACATATCTTCAAGATGTCCAGAGACCAAAATGCTTCAGTTCTGAGTAAATAACTGTTGTCTGGAACACGAGCTGGATCAGAAGTGTTGCCAGCCGTGATGGAGACCAAAGTGATCCAGATTCCTGTGAATTAGTCCCGGTTATCATGTCCCGAGTCCGTGACATTCTGGTTAGACTTAGGACTTTTTTATACATCAACATGGTTGCCTATACTTTGACTAACTCAGATTTTCCAGAGAATTGATTTGAAACTTAGTGTTCTAAAAGTTCAAACAGTAACTGGTATCGTATGACTTGAACTAAGTGACTGTGGACTGGAAGATGCATCAAAATATTATTTAATAGGAATACCTTTTGTTCTTTAAAGAGTGGTAAAGTAATGTGGATATAAATTAGCTATTTCTTTGAGTCAGCAAATGGAATTTTCTTGATTATTTATAATATTGATACCTAACCTCTTGAATCTTGGCTGGGGCATCTGGATAGATTCCATACGAACTAATGTGGCCTGAGAATACTCACTGATCAGCAAGCTTAAGAGGGCTGTTGCTGCCTGATTTTCTCAAGTATAAGAATATAGAGATTCATTCAAAAATGATGAAGTTCCTGCCGTGTGCGTGTTTGCAACAATTTAAAGCACGGGGAATACTACTGTGAGTAATACCAAATCTGCCCTTGGGGAGCTAAAATTCTAGTTCAGGGGAACATCCACTGTATATGATTCCAGAGAACAGTAATTGCTATGTGTAATAAATTTAGCAGGGTCAGGAGTTAAGTGGAGGGGGTGGTGTCTCAGAAGCAGTGTTGAAGGGAGACTTTGCAGAAGGTAATATCTAAGCAGAGCTGAAATGAGCAAGAACGAGCTATGGGAAGACCTGGAGCAAGGGTTCCAAGCAGAGAACATGAGTGCAAAGGCCGTAGGTGAGAATGGACTTCACGTCCAGGAATCATGAGGCCCATGTTGGCAGAGCTTACTTAGTAAACAAAGGGGATGAGGTGCAGAGGTAGGCAGAAGGAAGCGGGATCATTTGACATCTAGTAACTAGTTTTCCAACGTGGTATAGTCAACATACTCAAATAATTTCTCTGGCTGCTGTGGGAATAGGTTAGGACTAGAGTATGGTGAATGAAAGCAAGCTTTGGCCGTGGTCCAGGTAAGAAGTCATGGTGACTTGGGCCAAAGTAAGGAGGGAGAAGTGTTCAAGTGGGAAACGAGGCAGTGGGATTTGCTGGTCATACTCTGGAGTTGTGAGGGAGGAATCAAGAATAATTGGCCTGGGGCCTGAAAACTGTCGGAATGAGTGTGCCATTCACAGGGAAGATGCAGAGGCGGAGGCAAGCATACTGGTACTTGATGAGTAATGTCACACTGGTGAGTGTAAGAATGGAAAACACTAAAGTGACTTGAAGAGCCTGGAAATTACATTTCACCTGCAAGATGCTGCGGAAAATCCGAATTGTGTGCCCAAAATATTGGAGAAACTTAATTGCTTACAAGAAGGGACCTCAGGGAACCTTATGTTATTTTATTTAGAGCTCTAATTGACTATCAGTTTCTTGCTATTCCCCTACACACCCTTTGCCTTTAGGCTCTCTGAAGACATCTGTTTAAGCATGTGTTTTGCTTCTTGACATGAGTTCCAACCATGTGGAGGAGAGAAGCATCTGGCCTCTTTAAGATAGAAGTTCATATTGTTCATCCAGAGACTGATCCTGAATGAGTGAATTACAGGAAATATGAAGTCTTCAAGCAATAGGAATCCCTTGTAAAAAGCAAGACTTGGAATCTAATTCCCTTGAATATGGATGGGTCTGTGACTGTCTTGTCATCAATAAAATGCGATGCAAGTGATATTTCCTGACTTCTGAGGTCAGGTCAGAAAAATCTATGAAACCTCCGACACCTCTGCAGGACTCTTGTGCCGGAGCCTGAACCACCATGAAAGTCGTGAGCCCTGGGGCGCCTGGGGGGCTCAGTCGGCTGGGTGTCCCAGGGTCTGGGATCCCGAGCCCCATGTCGGGCTCTCTGCTCAGTGGGGAGCCTGCTTCTCCCTCTCCCTCTGCCTGCCGCTCCCCCTGTTTGTGCTCGCTCGCGCTCTCTCTGTCAAATGAATAAAGAAATCTTAAAAAAAAAAAAATCCATGTGTGTTGCGGCCACCATCCTGTGAAGAAGCCCAAACTGGCCCGGGGGAGGGGCCCTGAGACCACAGGAAGAGAGATGCCGCCAGAGCCCGCCGCAGCTCCAGCTACCGTAGCGCTGCAACCACCGGAGAGACCCCGAGCCAGAAGCAGCCGCACGAACCTCTCACCAACTCCTGACCCACAGAAACCGTGGAAATAACAAAAGGATTGTTTCTCTTTTTAGCCACGAAGTTTGGGGGAGGAGTTAGCGTGGAGCACTAGGAACTGAACCACTCCCATTACGACCCACCCCCAGAAACTCTTCTGATGTGATTATTTCCTTTAGTTTTACATGACTTCGGTGTTCTTACATTTCTGTGAGAATGAGTTTTTCATTTATATATATTATACCGTGCATAAGATTTTGTTTCTATTTTCCCCCTTCGGCATTTAAGAGTTTTGTCCGGGGCGCCTGGGTGGCTCAGTCCTTAAGCGTCTGCCTTTGGCTCAGGTCATGGTCCCAGGGTCCTGGGATCGAGCTCGCATCGGGCTCCCTGCTCGGAGGGAAGCCTGCTTCTCCCTCTCCCACTCCCCCTACTTGTGCTCTCTATCTCTCTGTCAAATAAATAAATAAAATCTAAAATAAAATAAAATATAAGAGGGGCGCCTGGGTGGCTCAGTCGTTAAGCGTCTGCCTTCGGCTCGGGTCATGATCCCAGGGTCCTGGGATCGAGCCCCACATCGGGCTCCCTGCTCAGCGGGAAGCCTGCTTCTCCCTCTCCCACTCCCCCTGCTGGTGTTCCCTCTCTCGCTGTGTCTCTCTCTGTCAAATAAATAAATAAAATCTTTAAAAATAATAATAATAATAAAATAAATAATAAAAGAGTTATGTCTGGGGTGCCTGGGTGGCTCAGTTAGTTGAGCAGCTGCCTTTGGCTCAGGTCATGATCCCAGGGTCGTGGGATCGAGCCCCGCATCCGGCTCCCTACTCAGTGGGAGGCCTGCTTCTCCCTCTCCCTCTGGCCCTCCCCGCTCTCGTGTGCTCTCTCCCTCTCCCTCTCTCTCTCAAATAAAGAAAATCTTAAAAAAAATAAAGTTGTGTCCACGTTGCTGTGTGTGCATCAGTCCCTTGCCTCCAGCCAATGTGTGGTATGCATAAGAAGCACTGAC